CCCCCCCCCCAAAAAGAAACAAGCGAAGGGGAATGACAAGCGAGTCGATCAACTGGAATGCTTACATCCCACGAAGCTGGACTGAAAGCTCCTTCCTCCCATCCATGTTATGCTATGCCAAGTAGAAAGACGCCCCTCAGCGACCTCACTTAACATGCACAACTCGTTCGTCCTCGTCGTCAAAGCCATTGTCAACTACGCCTCATGTCTCCTATCCCCTCCGGACTCTCCTTCGTAGTCATGCTCCGGCCCACCTCAAGACTACATGCGCTGCCCGAGGGCTTTGGCACATGTCGTCTGAAGAATGCTCTTGTGGATTGGCATAGCAGCAGCCTTCTTCTCCTCCTTGAGCTTAACGGCTCCCCCCTTCTTGACGTTCCTCTTCGTGGCAAAGGAGAAACCGAGACCTCCAGCAACACGGGTCATGGCAGGGGAGCCCATGTTTGCGTCCTCAGCAGCAGTTAGAGTAACGTGAGGAAGGTCAGCGGCGGTAGGAGGGACCATAAGCTTGGTTACAGTCAAGCCCGGGTTCGTTGATGTACACCTTCTCGGCGTCCCTCTCCTTGTCAGTGTTCAAGATCTTCTCGATCTTGGCGTAAGGAAGGGAACACCTGGTCTTCTGGAGCTCAGTAAGGTTAAACACCGTCTCAACGAAGGCCTTGCCAACTTCGACGGTGGTATCCTTATTGGTGGTGGCCTGCTTTCCAAAGTACGCCTCCCACTCCTTCTTCTCGTCAGTTTTCATGCCCTCATCAACGAGACGGCCCTTGGGCTTCCTCTACTCGGGCGTGACCGTGGTACCGGCGGCGGTTTTTTGGTTGAAGTACGTCTCCCAGTACTTCTTTTCTTCCGCTGTCATTCGTTCATCGATCACGGGGCCCTTAGGCTTCTTTGGCTCGATGGTGACTGTGGTGGGGCCGGTGGGCGCGCGATTCACGTACTCGGTAAGGAACTCGCGCGCAAATATTTCGTTGAGGGGGTGGTTGGCGGGGTCGACGCGTGGAATGATCCGTTGCATGTGGTTCTTCGTCTCTTTCTTCTCCTCGCTCTTCTCTTCGTTGCTGATTTCCTCCTTCGCGTTCTCTTAAGCGGCGGCTTCTTCAAGCTCCCTCGGAGCCGGAGCGGCGGCGGTGGTTATGGCAGCTGTGGTGGGAAACAGGCGCGGACCAGCGGGTTTGCCAACGGGAGCGGGAGTTGTAATTCCCTTGTAGCGAACTCCAGCATCCCTGGGGGAATGAACGGCAAACTGGCCCTTCATCGACGCGAGTTCCGCCTTCTTCGCGTTGCGTTCGGGGACAAGAGCAGCAAAAACGCTGATAACGGGAGCGATAAAGCATACCATTGTTGATAAGTTGGTTTGATTGTGGTTTTGAGAACGTCTGAGAGGCGTTGAGAGAGATTAACTGGACTTTTCGTGCTCGTTGGTAGAGTTGGAAGTTGGACGAGGACAGAGTCGCGACAAGAATACCGCAAGCTTTAGGTCGTCTGTGGCGACAAGTCATGACGACACCTACTATCGGTACTGTGTATAATCTACGTTTCCGAAAAAGGTGTGCTGAAGCATTATCTCCTGTACCTGCTCGATCGTTGCGACTCCTAATGCGGCATTCACACGGTTGCACGCTAGTGCGGTGCGCTACAATGCTGCCACCACGCGTTCTCGGTTAAAGGCACCCGAGACCAAAGTGACACTGGTGAGGGGCGGGGAAGAGAAAATGTCAAGCAACCTATGAATTGATAATCGTTATCACTCAAATTTCAAGCCCGTTATCCTCATCAATGTCAACCTCATATGAACAAGGTTCTTCATGTACGACGCTTATCTTCCCGCTCATTTCCTGGCCCTAGTAACAACAAGTTCTCGAGTCCCATTCTTGTGCGATTTGTCACTCAGAACGATCACATCCTCTCCTTTCTCGTTCTTTCCTCTCCAACATACCCGGCGCGCCAATCTGACCTTAAGCGACTTGCACTCATCATGGGAGATTTTACCCCTGCCCTTGAGCTTGTCATACTCCATACACCCTTTGTCCAAGTTCCTCTTGAACTGAAACTCGCAACCAAGAAACAGCCTGTACTTTGCCCGGCACATGGCTTGCTCGGCCGTGGTGACCATGACGGGGGATAGCGGAGGAGCCTCATCGTCAGGCGCTGTCAAGGTGAGGATGGGGGCCTCGAGCGCATGAGGGGTGACGAGGATTATTTGCCTTTTCTCCATAATATGGGCGCTGGCGCTGATCTGTTCGTACATCATCGCAATTCTCTCCACATCGGTCTTATCGTTCTTACCCTCATCGTTGCTGCGGACGCTAAACACCTCCACGTTAATGTCGTTCTTCTCCACCTCGTGCTCAATCTCCTTCACATCACAGGGAGAAGCTCTCTCCTTCTCGGTAGAGTTGTCAACTTCAGCTGCGATCGTAACCTTGGTCTCAAGTGGGGTGCACTTGGGAGCCTCTTGCGCGGTAGCCGCGGGGATGGGGGCGCGAGCCGAAAGAGATGCTACATCCGGCTCGAGCGCTTCGGGGTTGGCCTTGAGCGCGGAAGGGGCAGCCATCTTGGTAAAGTATTCGACCCAGTAAATTTTCCCCTCATCGGTCAAGCCATAGTGGATGGCGGGGCACTTGACTTTCGTCTCGTCGACCGTGGTGACCGGGGAGTCAGCGGTGGTGGAGTGCTCCTCGGTCTCCTTACAGATAAAAGACGTCTCGTCACAAACGTCCTTGTGCTTCTCGTTCTCGTTGATAGCCTTAGCTACCCCGGTCTCGAGTTTCAAATCTTTCTCCTCCTTGACGCTCCCGATCCGGAGTCGCGCTTGGCGAGGCCCGGGGAGGAAACGTCAGTGGTGATGATAGGCTTCGTGCCAGCAGCAGGAGCGCGTTGGTAGCGAACGTTGGGTTTTCTCAAGGAGTGGACGGTCATCCCGACCTTGTTCTTCCTGACGTCCTTTTCGGCCGCACGCCTGGCAGGACGGTTAGGGAGGACGGAGCTGAAGAAGTTGGCGAAAGCAGTCGTGCATCCGGCCATGCTGATTTGTGTAGTTGTTTTTGTAGAGTGAGAGTGTTCAGTGGCTTTCTTGACTGCTTCTGAAGCGGTCGATAGCTTTTCCTGCTTGATAGAGAAGGAGGACGAGTTGGTAGAGGAGGAAGTTTGCAAAACGGAATTCTCGCTGACTATATCCACGAAGGCACCAAGATTCCAGCTAGCAAAAGGTGACGTCTATATATGACCAGGTGTCTCCAAGAGCTGCACGATTTGATTAGAAGTAGCAGGATTTCCTTTTGCGGATTTCTTGTTCGCACGATCTCTGCGGCCCGCTGCACCTTTCTGCACCTTTCCCGTTGGGGCACGTTCAGGTGCGGGTAGCTGCGCGATCCCAGCCCGCAGACGTCACGGGTACTTCGAGGGTTCATTAACCGGTCCGCCTCAAGATAGACATGGGATATCGATAGGTCGTTCAACGAACCCTTTTGATCCGGTAAATACGATCGACTCTTCACAGGAAGGAACAATGTCGACGTCCGACATGGATCGGACGACTCGAAGTGATACGGACGAGACCCTTCAGTTGGAGCAGGAAAAGCAGCACGACTCTGTATCTCCTGCAACACCCTCTTCCGCTAAGAAATCATGGAATTGGGATAACGTCAAACCAGACAAGGTCACTTTGTTACTCGCGATTAAGTCTGCGCTCGGACTGGGGATCATCGCGGCCTTGTCGCAGTCCGAAGACGTGATGCGTATCGAGACGACGCTTTATTATGTTTCATTAATTATCGCTTCATTGTTCGGGACATGGAAGCCTAGGGGTGCGTTCTTTGAGGGAGTTATCATTGCAGTGGTGCGTACAGTCCTGGCTTCTAATCAAGACACGTTACTGACGGATCGACCAGTTCATTATGTGCGCTTTCGTACCCTATGTCCTTTTCTCGGCTTGCATGGCACTACTGTCCCGTCACCAGGATTCCTCCGTACTGGTGGCAACCCGCCTCGGCATCACGAGTCCTGCGCAACTCGCTCAATATGATTCCGCGACGCGACTACAAGCCGTCTATACTCCCGCACCAGCCGCACTATGTGCAACCTTCCTGTTCATCGCTGCATGGCTTCTCAACGTGCTCAAAGTCAAACTCGGCCTTTCAGCTCTGTTCGGTATCATCATGGGTGGAATCTTCTCTGGTATCCTGTTGACGGAAGCTCATGTTTTCCCGAACTTCGGATACGTGACGATGATTGTCCGCAGGCTGTTGACCGCGATTTTGCTGGGTGTTGCAGTGCAATGTGCAGTGAACTTGTTCGTACCGCCGATCGTTAATGGACGATTGCCGTACCTAAAGACAGTCTCGGGAATCTTGGGACTCGCGTCCAAGGTCTTGAGGGTACAGCATGAGTCTTTCCTGACGGATCCGTTGCAGAAGAACAACAACGATACGGTGGCAAGGACTATGGTCCAAGGACTGACTGGCCTGTTGGCGAAACTGGCCATGCTCAAGGGTCCGGCAAAGCGTGAAGTTGTCTTTGGTTACATGAAGGCCTCTGATCTGGAAGAACTAAACAAACATGTCCGACAGCTTGCCGTCCCTGTCATCGGTTTAGGAAACATCCGCGCAGTTGAACGAGACATCTACGTTCGCCATGTCGACGGCCTCAATGAAGATGACATCGAGACCGCTAAGCAGCAGAGTCATTGGTTTTACCGAAACGGACAGGTTGACACCTCTCCTGATATCTGGCAAAAGGTCTCAGAGGACAACTTGCGCGAGGCTGGGCTGTTATTGAAGAGGAGTTGTGGAGACGTTATCACTGGATGTGAGGAGGCAATTACACATATCCAGCGCACCCTCCGTCTTGGACCTTACCAACGTGCACCGTGGTACGTTGCCTGGATGAAGAAGCATGACAAGACGCTTGATCGAACGCCTGAGGATGACCTCTTCTTGCCAAGGTTCGAAGCTATAATCGCAGAGTTCTGGGCACACCGGACAGAGGGCTTCGAAGCTTTGAAGCAGAAGGATCGGTCATTCTCGCCTCCGTTGTACATGATTCTGTACTACGAGTCACTTATCTACACTGCGGCACGTACCTTGGTTGACATGTCCAAGTTCGCAGATGCCAAACACCAGGATGGAACCATGACCCATCTACGTCTTCGTCTCCCCTCGTTGCGGTCATTCCGTAAAGCAATTGTCGGAGCCTTCGATAGCAAGAAAGAAGAAGAAGGTCGGGGACAGGAGTACTCGGACGGCAGTTACGTACAGTGGTCAATCCTCGACAGCAAGGACGAGATGGAGCCCGTGCCTGGTTGGTATCGCAAGCCATTCATCCTCTTGTGGAGGTTTGGGCAGATTATGCAAGGCTCTACCAGTGCATTTGGTCTAAGAGCGGCTATTGCTATGCTTGCGTGTACGCTTCCCGCATACTTCCACAGCAGTATCAAGATTTTCATCCAGTATCGGTTGATTTGGATCACGCTGACCGTATTGCTGGGTTTGCAGCCTATTGCGGGCAGAGCGTTCTCGACCGGCATCATGCGTCTCATCGGAACTGTTGTTGGAGGAGTGTTGGGTCTCCTGGCTTGTGAGATCGGGAGAAAGCCGGCCGCAATTATTCCGCTCTACTTCTTGAGCTTAATCCCCCAGTTCTACGTGCAGATCAAGAATCCGGTGTTGTACTTCCTGCCGACGTTGATGAGTATGATCACGGAGGCACTCATTGTGGGTTACGAGCTTGCCGAAATGAAGCTTGGACGTGCAGCGTTGTCGGCCGGTGGACAAATTTACCTCTCTGTTCCCGCTCTTTTCGGGTACCGAGTCCTGCTTACTGTTGCAGGAGTTGTCGTATCGTTCGTCTTCACAATCTTCCCGTCCCTGATCACCGGTCGCAGACTCGTTCGCGACGAGCTTGCACAGTCCTGTTTGTTCGCGGGTGACTTGTACTCTATCGTACACACCAAAATCGCTGCCGAAGCTGCGGGTGTTCAGCCTCGCGAACTGAACAAGCGCATCAGGAATGCGAGAGCAAAGCTGACTGGTCTGGCAGCTTCCCAGCAGCAACTTATGAGCTTTACCGCGTATGAACCTGTCTTGCGTGGAAGATGGCCACGGGAGAGATACATGAACATCCAGAAGCACATGCTCATCATCACAGGTTTGCTAGCGACAATGGATCTCCAGATTGATGCTTTCACCGAGGACGATGAGAAACTATTGGCGGAGCTGCTCGACAAGCCATCGTTCAGGCTTTTCTATGAGACTGTATTGAGTACATTCCATCACGTAAGTATTTCGCTTGCTCTGGGTCGACCTCTTCCTCCATTTATGAGGTCACCCGTGCAAGTCATGAGGGACAGGGATCAGGACGTCAAATGGGCGGGTGAACGATCCAACTTTCATCAGAGGAAGGAGTACGCAGCAATTGCAGGTATCGTATTGCCGGGTAATGCGATCGCGCGCAGTTTGGAGGTCATCGTGTACGAAGTTAAGGCTTTGTATGGTGAAAACATCCCGAGTGGTGCTGGACTTGGTCATGGTAATGGGAAGGGTAAAATGACGTAGGTTATGGATTCGGGGATGAGAAGGATGGTAATGTTTGGGATCTGGGCATAATAGCATAATCAATTGGACAATAATGGTTCAAGTCTTCCCACACTCCATATCACGTGCCCCGCGCACCTTCAAATTGCGCAGCGCGGACGACATGAACCTCCATCACCGATGCGTCCATTCGGGGCGCACTTTCCTCTTCCGCCTTCTCGGAGGCAGCAGGATAAGGAAAGTAACGGAGCGGTGAGAGATCGTCCGTCGTGTCAGCTTCGGTAACCTTCGTGTGGCACTCCTGTGTCGCAACTTGCGTGGTGGATGGCTACTCGCACGTCGAGTAGCGGAATTCGGCCGTGAAGATCATAGAAGTTTACTGTAATATAATACGAGACATATCAATGTTCTAGCTATGCCTTACCTTTGCCATCTGTTCACTGAAGAGTGTAGATGTTCCAATTGCAACTTGATGCTGGCGACGTTGATTGAGTATGGCAACACTGAGTACATCCCGTATGCTCTCCGATCTGACTTTCCACACTCCTGATTTACCTCAATTGATGTCAATCAGTCGGCCACAGGATCCCGGGGTTATACCGTCTAGGTGTAGAAGTCAGAGGACGTATACAGGTGATATTGATACCTTCGATCGATACCTCGTGCCGGAAGCGAGCACTCCCAATCATGGATATAGGTTCTGCCATAGCAAAAGGTGATCAGAGTAGGCATCTCTCAACATTATGTGTTCAGACAGGGATAACTGTTTGATTGATAGCGTCTAATTCATCATGTAACCTCAAAAATCGACGCCGACGCGATTCGAACGCGCGAAGGAAGATCCCACGGCCTGTCCGGATTAGGTTTAGCACCAATCTTAGCAGGGCCGCCCGGTAACCACTGCGGCACAGCGTCTATTGATGTTCTTGGGTGGGTCTTTTGCAATACAAGTTCCCCATTTGAGTTACCCTCTGGTTGATTCCTTGCCGTAATGGTTACCGGGTGATCCTGTTGCCATTGCTCGGTAACCACTGCGGCACACACTATTATCTGGCCTAGGTCCGATCTTTCCCTCCGTCATTAACGAGCACCACAATGGTTGCCGGTCCCATCACTGACCGTTGTCACGGAACCATTGCGGCAAGCGTGTGAATGGTCTAGATTCCTACTCTCTATGTTGACCAAGCGTACAGCTCAGGATAACTCTAGAATAACTCTGAGCCACACAGAACAAAAAGTAAAACCAGTGATAAATTTTGTGATGTAGTGGTAGCCAGGTGCCACAGAAACATCAATGCCCATGACCCGCGGCCGCGGCCGGCGATCGCGCGTTTGCCATTAAGTGAATATTCAAATAACTTGAATTCTTCAACCAAACACTGTAGTATGGCGCAGGCGTATAGACATTTGCGCAGATCAGGTCTGCTGAGAGCTGGATTTAGGCATTGTCCTTTGCCAGAACAGTCATTGCAACTGCAGCTGTCGCGGCCATGGAACACATTGAACACCTTCGATTTAACGGCCGCTCACCCTTAGATTTGTTCATGGCTTCCCATATGCGCGTGCCTTGTTTGCCAGAATGGCACTATGACCTCCTTGTTACCGCCCCACCTCTCTACTACATAGTAGCTCGAATGAATGCTGTGCCGCGGTGGTTACTGGGCGGCTGTTTATTATGTTCATGAAAGTGTCACCAAACGTGCGTTCGACCAACATTGGCTACTGGTTCGAGCCGCACCCAAGTAGGTAGGAAGTCATATGACCGCAGCTGTACGTGCTAGGTGATTCAATCCCGACTTTGGAACACACCAGCGTTCGAATTTCCCACGGGTACCGCCGCGCGTCAAGGGCATGTTCCCATATCCCTAACTGACTTGAGCTGCGCATATGGTCGTGAAAATAACGTACGAGTATCCACAACCATCCAGAGTTCATGATCATCATGCGTGCGACTCGTCCCTTGATATATGCTCACAAAATGCTTGTCATTCAACTTGATACCGGCCAGCTTTATTCATGTGAGAGCCTATTCAACGTGAGGATCACAGGTTGTCGTACACAGGCGGGCAGCTGATGGTGACGGCTGTATGCGGTCAACTTTGAGTTTTGTAATACACCGCTCGATCATAAGCAGGTCTGCTTCAACATTCACTTGATTATGCAAGGCTTTTGGTGCTGTATGTCAGGTAACGGAAGGGTGAGTGCGTCCGGAGATGAGCATATAAGAGGCCATTTATGAAGGAACACACCGACGATGACTTATTACCATCACAACAACGCAAGCACCGCGATCAGAGATCTCCAGGAAATGATAAACACTTTCTGAATGCACATCTTCAACGCCTACACATTCCACATGTCTAGTATAATCTCAGATGCCCGGTTACCTCATCAACGACACTCCTCGGTCCAGGTCCAACACCCAACACCGTCGCCGACCCAGCAGGAATCTGCGTCCGACCCGCGTCCCTAACAACCCTCGCCACCAATCCCAAACTCAAAGCCTTCGCCTGCATAACCAACATCTCCTCCTCATCCTTCGTCTGCAACGTAATCTTAGGTTGTCCGGCCGACTCCCAATGCTGCAAGAGCGCCGGGTTATGTCTGAGGAGGGATTTGTAACATGCGAGGGTTGCGTGGGAGCATTGAGCGGCGATTTTGCCTTTGGTCATGCCGAGGTCTGTACGGACGACGAGGACGAGCTTGGCTTCTTCGGAGGTATTGGCAGAAGCATCGGTGGTTGCCGGTGCTTCATCTTCAGAGTCCGTTGCCTCCTCCTCTGCTTCGAATTCGGATTCGGATTCTGAGTCTGTTACGGGCTCGGCATCCTTCTTCTTGCTGCGGGTATTGTTCGAGGAGGAGACGCCCAGGGATGATCCAAGACCGACGTAATACCCGACCGCCAGGCACAGAACCGCGGTAGCAATCACGGAAGGCACGAGCGCAGGGGATGAAGGAACATGAGTCGCTTGAGGATTTGGCATTGACATATCGTGTTTGAGTACAGATTTTGGGTTGTATCCGTTACGCTCTGGGCATGAACTTGCAGCACGCAAATGTGAGGTTCAGGATCCGGAGCCCAGCCTCAGCCTGATCCGCGCCGAGCCTCCTTTTCGGCAAAGTGAGCAACACATGTGAATTGGTCAAGGCGGAGTCAATTGCAAATAGCAACGCCTATATAAACCCGAATCCTTCCCGACTGCAATCGTAACAGCAGCAGCCCCCCCCCCCTCACCCTTCTTCCACTTGGAGCCCCACCTAAAAATTGGGGTGCAAGCTTCCCCCGCGTTTACCCTAGCGCGCGCACGTAGTTGGACCCCGTCATCTCCAGCGCTCGGTCATCGCCAATTGAGACCTCCATACCATCCATACCATCAGCAGTGATGTTGTCTGTGAGAACCGCTCTTCGCTCGACTACTCGTCTCCAATGTCTCCGCACTGTGAGCACCTGGGCTCAGTACGTACTCTGCAATCCCTGCTTTGGTTGATTTCCTGAGAACTGACTCTTATGACTTTTGCAGTGTCCCCATGGGTCCTCCGGATGCGATCCTCGGTGTTACTGAGGCTTTTAAGAAGGACACCGCTTCCCATAAGATCAATCTTGGTGTCGGTGCTTACCGTGATGACAAGGGCAAACCCTACGTCCTTCCTTCCGTCCTCGAGGCCGAGAAGAGGATCACCGAGAAGAAGATGGACAAGGAGTACGCACCCATCACCGGTGTTGCTTCTTTCACCAAGCTTGCTTCGCAGCTTGCTTACGGTGCCGACTCTACCGACTTGAAGGAGGGTAAGATCGCTGCTACTCAGTCCATCTCCGGTACCGGTGCTTTGAGGATCGCCGGTGCCTTCTACAACAAATTCTACCCCAACAAGACCATCTACCTTCCTTCTCCCTCATGGGGTAACCACACTCCCATTTTTAAGGATTCGGGATTGGAGGTCAAGTCTTACAGGTACTATGACAAGGAGAACATCTCCCTCGATATCAACGGTATGATCGAGGACATCAAGGCTGCGCCTGAGGGTAGCATCATCTTGTTGCACGCTTGTGCTCACAACCCTACTGGTGTTGACCCTACCGAGGACCAGTGGCGCCAGATCTCTGACGCCGTCAAGAGCCGTGGTCACTTTGTCAACTTTGACGCTGCTTACCTTGGTTTCGCTTCCGGTAACGTCGACAAGGATGCTTTCGCCATCCGTCACTTCATCAAAGAGGGTCACCGTATTGCGCTCTGCCAGTCCTTTGCCAAGAACATGGGATTGTACGGTGAGCGTGCTGGTGCTTTCTCCGTCATGTGTGACTCTGCGGAGGAAGCCAAGAAGGTCGACTCCCAGATCAAGATCATCGTGAGAGCGATGTACTCTAACCCTCCCATTCACGGTGCGAGGTTGGTGTCTGAGGTTCTTGGTGACGAGAAGTTGAACCAGCAATGGTTGGGCGAGGTCAAGGGTATGGCTGACCGGATCATCTCCATGAGGACGCAGTTGAAGAATCACCTTGAGGAGTTGGGATCTAAGCACGACTGGAGCCACATTACCTCGCAGATTGGTATGTTCTGCTTTACTGGATTGAAGCCGGAGCAGGTGGAGAGATTGATGAAGGAGCGCTCTGTGTACTTGACCAAGGATGGACGTATCTCGGTCGCGGGTATCTCATCGGACAACGTCAAATATCTGGCGGAGTCGATTCACCATGTTACGAAGGATTAAATAGGCTAGTAAGAGCAGTGAATTTGATGTATGTACCTAGGTATCTTCTTGCAAATAAGAACGAGATGAACGCACGTTGGGACAGCCATGTGCGTGTGTGTGCGTGGTGCGGTGCGGCAGGGCGCGCTTACAACGATCCGGCGTTTGATGGCTCCAAAATCTCAACGCAAGACATCTTGGACTGGCCCTCACGATCGACCCACGAACAAGAGAGTACACAAGGACGAAAAACTCGCTTCCCATTTCAATCGTTCTGCTGTCATCCACCATGTCCAACGCTGCTGAAGACCGTGAAGAAACTACCCCCAATGCCGCTGACGAGGCTGGCGACTTGATTGATCACAACACCTTCGACCAGCTCCTCGAGATGGACGACGAGGACGACCGCGAGTTCAGCAGAAGCATCGTTTGGAACTATTTCGAGCAGGCAGACACCACATTTGTCGAGATGGAGACAGCACTGTACGTTATTTCCCCATCGCGTGTTGTCATTCTTCGGGAAAACCCATGCTGACGTAATATCGTATGAACAGGTCAGAGAAGGATCTTGATCAACTTTCTTCATTGGGTCATTTCCTGAAAGGATCTTCCGCCGCTCTCGGGTTGACAAAAGTGAAGGCATCTTGTGAGCGTATCCAGCATTTCGGAGCAAAGAAGGACGAGTCGGGGACTGAGCCCATTGATGAGGAGACCGCGATGAAGAGGATTGAGGAGATTCTACCAGTGGTGAAGCAGGAATACGCCGAAGCTGAAAAGTACTTGAGGAAGTTTTACGGAGACGATGCATGAGTTGGTGCGTGTTTGCATGTTACGATACGTGGTGCGATGGGGGAAGTGCGTGGAAGTATGATAAAGTGAGTGGAGAAAGCGTGTTGACAGTGTTTTTATTGTGGAGTGGATCCGTTGGCCGTCATCTGGGATCCACTCTCGACCTATTTATTGTCTTCCGGGCAAGGGAGTTGTGTTGTACTATACCCCCTTTGTCTTACAGGTTAGATTTTGGGGAAAGGCTGAAGTGGACCGAGCTGGTGCTCGGGGGCTTGTCGGTTTCGTTTTTTGCTCTTTTTGCTTGTTGTTTCTGTTCAATTCATATCCATTATGTATTCTCCATCCTTATTCCAAATAAGCTCTCGCTCTGGTGACAGCTGGGTCGTAGCCATGGCGTTCGTATCCGTCGCTGCTGCAGCTCAACGTCGTGCCTTGCAACTGACAGCAGCTGGATCATTCAACATCAAACAGAACAGAATTGAAATCAACATGGAGAACACTCGGTATATCATTACCCCCTTGAAGGTCATTGGTACGCAGTCATGCTATCCTGTTTCATATCATGATGTATGCTGACAGCTTGTCGTACAGGAACTGTTTCATTGGGAGCCATCACTGTATGCCAATTCGATAGGCGCTCTATGCCGGATGCGATGTTGACCGTTTAATCGCAGGGATCATTGGCTGCGCTGTCATTCTCGACAGTCCCTGCCATGTTGGGCTTGCCAAGTAGGTGCATTACCAAAGTACGGCAGATGAATGCTGACATCATTAAGCAGCATCCGAATCAGTTCCTAAGGCCCTCCACGTTGCCTTGAAGTCGACCAAGGACGTCGTGTTCCCTCTGCAGCTCGTTTCTGCGACCTCCTTCCTCGCCGCTTTCGCCCTTTCCCCACGGTCGGGCCGGCACCCCTACCTTCTCTACTGCGCAACCGCTGCTCTCTCGCTGACGCCCTACGCCAAGTACCTTTTGAAGCCGTTGATGGGTGAGGTCATGAAGGTTGACGGTGTTAACGGTGAGCAGACCAAGGAAAGCTTGGTGAAATGGAAGAGAAGGAACTACGGCCGTGTTGTGATCGCTGCCATTGGCACTGTTTTCGCGATCATTGGTGGACACGGAGAGGGTTTGTATTAAGCTTCGGCACGTGTGGGAAGTATGTATGTGTGATGCTCTGCACATGCGTTTTCTCATCTGAGGACCTGTACGATGGAATGAAGTATGTGATGTGATGAGCGGAGATACCTATCGAGAATGCAAGCCAACTATGCAATTTCCCGTAGCCTGGACCTAGGTATGGCCTGGAGATGATCCGATATTGGAATGAACTCGAGAATGTTACTTTCTCTCTCGGTTATCCTCGCCCACACGTGTGTATATTATATATGTTCTTCTAAGGGCTACACCAAAACATTCCTCGACTTTGACCCCTAAGCCACAGCGGTTACGCCATACGCTTCGGAGGGACGCGCGGTGACTTTGGAGCATCATGTACCTTGCGTCGAGGCCCCCTCAGCAATCGCGCAGGGACCCAGCGGGCCAACCGCCCACACGCCCACACAGGCGCGCGCATTCCTGGCGGCCCATCCGAAGTGCCAGGGGCCTCCTGGAATCGCCCTCGCTTGGGCGCGCACCGCCACGCATCATAACAAACACCGCCCCGTCTAGCGCCATCGTATATAACACTGCGCGTCCCGCTCGCTCCTCTGCTCCTCCGTCCATCGCCAAACGCCAGTAGCCGAGTCGCTCTCTCTCTCTCTTTCTAACGACCAACCCTTTACAGTCTTTTCAACAGCTCTGCGCAGCTTCCAACTAACTCGACTCTCTTACTTTTTCAAACCGTAATCTTCAACATGCGTTTCTCCGCCGGTATCATCGCGGCGACTTTGTCCGCTGGCCTCGTCTCGGCCACTCCCGCCATGTACAGGCGTCAGTACGTCAACGCTACCGTTGACGCTTCCGCTAATAACGCCGACACCGTTGTCGTTGTCCCCGTCGCTGCTCAGGCTTCCCTCGCCTCGGTGAACACTACCGACGCCGCTCTTAACGCGACCGTTGCCAGCAACTCCTCCGCTGCCGATGCTGGTGCTGCTGTGGCCGCTGCTGCGGCTGCCGCCTCTGACTTCGCGTCTGGCTCTTTCGCTTCTGTCTCCTCCACCATGACTACCACCATCACCATCACCATCGATGAGTGGCCCGTCGAGACCTCCACCGCCGCTGCTGATGTCGCTGCTGCTTCCGCTGCTGCACCGTCCTGGATTGAGGCTACTGCCACCACCACCGAGACCGCTGTCTGCCACTCTGCCCCTACTGTCACCTACAACCAGATCGTCACCGACCCTGCTCAGACCATCACCGTCGCTACTACTGAGTACGCTGTCGCTTCTTCCGTTGTTGATGGTACCACCTCTTACTACGTCCAGACCTCTGTTGCCGCTGCCGGTGTCGCTTACTCTGATGTGATCCGTGCTCGCAAGACCATCACCATCACCGAGTACGTTGACAACACCGCTGTCGCTACCAACACCGTCGAGGTCCAGAATGTCTACGCCGTCTCTACCGGCACCCAGGAGGTCACCACCACCTTGGCTGTTCCCTCCCTTGCCACCCCCACCACCATGGTTCTTGGTGCTTCTACTTACACCGTCTCCACCGCTACCACCATCGTTTACGTTACCTCCACCGCAGCTGTCTCCACCGTTACCTCTACCATCACTTCCACCGTCACCGCCTCTTCCACTGGCTCTGGCGCTGGCGCTGTCCTCCCCACTGGTCTCGGTGCTTCTAACGGCACTGCTACCGTTGCCCCCGCTTCCTCCGCTGCTTCCAACGCTACCGTTGCTGCTACCTCCGCCGTTGCTGCCAACGCTACCATGGCCTCCAACAACTCTGCCTCCTCCGCCGAGGAGTTCTCCCTCGTTGTCCCTGAGCTCCAGCGTCTCTACGTTGCCGCCAACAACGGTCTCTTGGTTGCCTCCAACGACACTGACGCCCTTGTCTTCACCTTGAACGCCGACGGTGAGCTCGTTGCCACCTCCGGCGATGTTGTCTATTTCGCCGGTGAGGCTGGTGCTTTGATGATCGGCTCCACCGTGTCCGCCGTCGCCAAGCGTGATGTTATTACCACCAAGACCTACACCCCTGAGGGCAAGTACTTGACCCTTGCCGTCGATGCCGTAGAGTACATCTTCGGTACCGAGTTCGTCAGCGAGCTCCACTCTCTCTTTGCCGGATCTTTCCTCCCCGGTCTCGATGAGATTGAGTTCGAGATCGTTGCTCCCTTCTCTAAGGCTGCCAACGGTACCGCCTCTGCTACCTCCGCCATTTCCTCCGCCTCTGCCGTCGTTGCTTCCACTGCCTCTGCTACTTCGGCCGCTACTGCTGGCCCCACCGCTGGCAGCGCCGCGAGCAGCGCTCCCGCCGCCACCTCTATTGTTGCTCCCTTCGGCAACAGCACTATCCCCGCCGTCCGCCGTCGCTGGTAAAGCGCTGACGGAGACCTAAAACTTCGACCTTTTTGTTTTTATTTTTTTCGGCACACGCCTCCTATCCCGATAACTTTCGGATGATCAATAGTTACGACATCTAGGATACTTTTGGAGTAATAGTGAGGTGGACCACACACTCTCTTGGAATATGAAATCTTGGTTTTTGATTACCTTATTTATCCGTCCATAACGTTAGATTATAAACATAATGAATCGCTGAGACTTTACAAGGCCTTCGAGAATCATACTGGCCATTCGTAGCGTACATAACTTCCTTTCCAGCTGCAATCCTATCCTTTCTCACGTCCCGCCGACTCCGCCTTCTTCAGTGCCCAATCCCAGAGTTTCTCGCGGTTCTGCGGGTCACCCACCCACCCTGTTTCTTTCAATCTCCCTCCCCATGAATCCAATCTCAAAGGCTCGCCCGTTTTGCCAAAGTCGTGTGTCGTACACACATACACACCAACCTCACCCATGTCCTCCGGAGGTCGTGTCACAAAGCTCTTTCCCAAGTTTGCGAACTGTACCATCCATTTCGGAAACCCTTGGTTCACCATCGCGTTCGTGTTCACAAGTCCAGGGAAGACGTGATGAACGATCACTTTGTCTTTGTTCCTCTTTGTCAATTCAATTGCCATACTGTCCAGGAAAGCAGAGTCACGAAGTCCCTGTCGAAGGGTGCGAGGGATCAGTGATGATTTGCGTTGCTCGATGTCATCAAAGTCAAGAGACATGTATCCTTGTCCTGGAGCTGCCACCCAAACAATCCTAGCTGGACCTGATCGTGTGTTCATCACAGGAATGAGAGAGTAGGCCGTATAGAACCGTCCCATACATTCTATGAGTCGTACATATCAGCATCACGTACGCGCGGGTTCGGTCGCCTACTTACGCAGTGCAAAAGCTTTCTCCATGCCCTCCGGGCCTTCGATAATCTTTCCCGAAGGCGGACCGCCAGCGGTCTGAACGAGGTAATCAATACCAGTGTCCTTGTACTTCTCCTTCATGGAGTTCGCGAGCTTCCGAATAGAAGCCATACTTGAGATATCCGCCCGCTCGTGCGTCAGATTGCCCTTCGCTCCATGCTCTTTCGCTTGTGAGATGATATCCTGAGCGGCATCGGTGCTTCGACCAACGATGTGCACGTTCGCACCAGAAGCAGCGAATCGGAGGGCGATCGCAGCACCAATACCTTCTACAATGGACGTCAGAAGCCGAAAGCCTAGAAGGACGGAAGTAACCTACGAGTACCGCCTATGACGACGGCGTTCTTCCCATTCAAATTGAGGGTGGAGTTTGCTGCCCGACTCACAGCTGCGAACTTGTTTGCGGGAAACATTTCAGACCTGAGGAAGGAGGACCAGCCCATTTTGATGCTTATAAAGTCGCTCTTCGGTGATTATAGACGGCCCGATGCTGAGAATATCACATGGATGTACGAGCCGTCAACCCGGACGCGCCGTACCGCTGCAGGCATATTACAGTACCTTCCCCATCGATCATGACGCAATACATCTCGAAGACACTGACCTGCCAGAGGTCATTCATTACCTGGTATGATATCGACTTCACAAAAAAGGTGCTGCCATAGGGGTTCGTCTGGATCGACATCCGATCACCGCTATCGCAGGACTGCAAATGAGGAGCATAGAGGAGGACTATGAGTCGTGTGAAGATTCTGTGTATCGAATAATAGAAAATATAACAAACCAAAAAAACAAAGCTAAGCATGCACAGTAATATGCCAAGTAATGAACCCCCAAAATATAGTACCCTTGACATTAGGCCGAACCATGGCCGCGGACAACATTGTATACCTCTCAACTATCTTGCACGCCTTTAAGCGTTCTCATACTTCTCCCAGTCCTTCAAGATCGCACCCAATTTAGGCGATCCGGTAAGCTTGTATACCTCCTCAAAGTACTCCTTAGAGATCTGGAACGGCTTGGCAGTAACATTAGGAATGTACTTGCCAACGAGGTTCGATGGGTCAATGCGAGTACGCAAAATCTTCTTGCCCAAGAAACCGCGGAAAGGCTTCACACCATTGCGCAAGAAAGAGGAGTGGAAAGGAACATCGATACCAGGAAGAGGGATGGTGGCGAAACCACGCTCCGGCTTCATGACACCACCGTTCTTGGCCTTCTTCTCCTCAGACTTCTTCGCACACTCGGCAACAATCTCAGAGAGGTGCTTCTTGACATCCTCAATGGACAACTGCTCCATCAACTTGTCCAAGTCAATCTTCTGCATTTTCAAGACGTTGAGAACGTTCGCCAACGTGTCAAGGGCCAAGAGCTCACCAGCGGCAACGTACTGCTGGTTCTCAACGTTGAAGTTGACGATCTCAAGCAAGCGACCAGTCTGGGAAGAGATGTGGTCGACGATGAAACGCAAAGCAGTCTCATTAAGAGTCTTCGAAATCCTGCTAGGGTTAACAGCGCACATCCCGTACTCAGAGCGACCTTCAGCATCACGAGCGACAGCAACCTGCATGGTCATACCACGGTAGAAGACGACATCGATCAAAGACTCGATGGGAAGAACGTCGCCGATACAAGCCAAGGCAGAGTACTCTCCCAGAGAGTGACCGGCGAAGGAGCAGCCCTGCTGCACCAAACCCTTGTCCTTCATGTCCTCGAAAGCAGCCTTCTCCATCAAGGTAAGGGCAGGCTGAGTGAACTGAGTCGCGGACAACAAACCAGTGGGGTGCTGGAAGGTGTAGAAGGAGGTGTTCTCGTCGATACCCTTGAAGATAGGAAGGGACTTGGTAGTACCATCAGCCTCAACAGTGTCGTAGACCATGGACATGTAGTTCTGACGGATGGCCTTACCCTTAGGTCCACCAAAGTGAACGGTGAACTCCTTAGGGTTATTCCTGACAATGTTAAGAATAGAGAAACCGTAGTTGGCTAAGAAGTGAGCATCGGCACGATCCCAGATGGCACGGGCGACGGGAGAAGCATCGTAAAGCTCCATACCCATACCCTGCTCCTGAGAACCCTGACCAGTACAGACGTAGGCGGTCTTAGCCTGGTCAACCTCAGCAACACCCTCGAGAACCTTCTCCTGAGTTTCCTGGTTGAAGGTCTCAACCTTAATGATCTTGCGACCGTTCATCATACCAGTGTGAGACAACTTAGTCTCCAAACGAGTGTTGGGAAGGACCATACCCAAGAACTTGACCTCGTAGTAGCTGACACGCTCGGGACGGTTCTCGGCGGCGAAGGTCTCGACGAAGCGACGGCAGCTTGCGGAAGACCACATACCGTGAGTGATGGTTCCAGGCAAGAGAGCGTACTTGGCGAAGTAGGGGTTGACGTGGATGGGGTTGTAGTCGGAAGAGATCTGGGCGTAGGGAGAGTTGCTGGGAGGAGCAACGGAGAGGGAGCTGAGCACATCCGGAGAAGGAGTGACGGAGTATCCTCCGTTTTCGAAGGCAACGGGCTGCTCAATAGGGCGACCGTGACGCTGGAGGTAGTCGATAACGGGGTTTCCGTGTGAGACACCAGCCTCGTACTCAACAGAGGCAACCTGGATGACCTCCTTGGTAGGCAACTGCAAGTAAACCTGACCCTTGGTCTCAACATGGCTGAAAACAGTCTTGTTCTTGAACCTGACCAAAGAGTTCAAACGGAAAGTAAGGGTCTGACCCAACAACTCGTGGTCGTCCTCAAGGTGGAACCACTCCTTGGACTGCAAGACAGCCAAGTCCTTGGTGGAGGAGATGGTGATTTCCATAGGCTTCTCAGTAGTACGCTGGAAGGTGTTCTCGAAGTCGTTGAAGACACCACGGTACAAGAACTGAGTAACGACCTCCATGACGGGCTCACCGGCACGGGTAATGGTGCCAGTGACCTCGACAAGCTTACCAGACTCGTTGTTGATAACAGCGTTGATGGTAGCGTTAGTCTCAACCTCATCACCAGCCTTGAGAGGCTGAGCACCTGGAATCATGCGGAAACCGTTCGACAAGTGAACGAGCTTCAACAAGTCACCGTCAATGGCCTTGGGGAAGATGGCCTTGGTGATAGCCTTCCATCCGACAACGATGGCAAAGTCCATAGGGGCCTGGACGGTCTTGCCAGGTCGAGCGACGTAAGTCTCTGACTGGTTGCCGACGACGTGGCAGAACTCCTTGATAGCCTCAGCCTGGACAGTAGCCTTTCCACCCTCGAAAACGTCAGTGACCTTGGAGTCAATGTCGAACTTCTCCTGACCGAACCAAAGACGCCAGTAGAACTCCTTGATCCTGTCGTTGCGACCCTCCATAACTTCGTGGATAGGGGCGTAGCCGACCTCAGGGTGGTAGGTGAAGAGGAACTTCAACTCAGCAACCTGACCGTCGATGGTGCGGTTCTCATACATGACAACAGAGATGTTGTCACCGTCACGCTTTGCCTCAGCAGCGGGAACGAGCTCACCGTTGCGAAGCTCAGAAACGACGATACAGTCATCGGCGACCTGGACCTGCTGACCGTAACGAGGGCCGAAAATGCGCTTCATGGGGTTCTCCTGAATCTTGGTACCCTGGACGAAGACATCAGAGGTGAGCAAAGCACGGCGCCAAGAGTAAGAGGGGCCAGAAAGGAGCTCGAGCCACTTCTTGGCCTCAGGGAGAGCACCGTTGGTCGAAGAAGCGGAGAGGTTGTAGATGGTCTTACCAGCCTCCTCCTTGGTAGTGAAGAAGTCGTTAAGCTCCTGCTCAACCTCCTCGATGACAGCACCACCGAAGTACTCAACGGTTGGGATCTTAGACTCATCGTTGTTGTAGTAGAGCTCCTTCAAGCTCTTGATGTGACCGTCGTGAACACCGTCCAAGATCTCGGCGATAGGCTCGTCGACCTTGCTGGCCCACTTGACGGCCATAGGACCCTGCAAGACAGCGATACGGCCAATGTCCTGGTCGACAACAGCCTCCAAATCCTCAGACTGCCACAAGGAGTCCTTCTTGAACCAAACCTCGAAGTTCTCGTCCAAAATCGGGATGAACGGAACGGGCTTCTGACCGCGCCTCTGGGAGAGGGTCAAGAAGTGCTGGCAATCCTGAGTGTTCATCAACTGAGACTTAGCCTCAGGGTAAGCCTCGAAGAACTTGTCGACAACCTCGAAGGGCTGGTTCAAAGCCTCAAAGCTCTGCAAGAAAGAAGGCTTACCCTCCTCGTGGGTGAAACGCTCCTCAACACGACGCAAGAAGTCACCGGTCAAGTTGCGGTGAGATTTGTCAATCCAGCGGCCCTGGTGTTTGACGTACATGAGCTCAACCATGCGGCGGACAACCTCAGCATAGGTCATGTCCTCCAAGTCACAAGGCTGGTTATCGGCCTCAGAGCGACCGAACCAAACCTTCTGGTAATCAGCGTTAAGCTTCTTGATGATGTAGTCCTTCTTAACCTTGAGGGCAGCGACACGCTTCTCCTTGGGCAAGTTGAAGATAGTGTCGTCCATCTCCTTCCAGAAGACGATTCCGCGGGTAGCCAACTTGTGAATAGGCTCGCCCAACTCGGAACGGACAGTGATAACACCACCAGCGGGACCCTTGTAGGTCTTCTCCCACTCGGAGTCAACGAGACCAGGAGCGTCAACGATGGCCTGCTTAGCACCAGTAGAGGTCTTGGCCTCCATAGCAGTCATGACACGGGAAGCGAACAAGACACCATCGAAGGGCATGGGAGGGTGGTTGTAGTCGAGAGCCCACTGACCAGTCAAGTAAGGCAAGGTGTCGTCAGCGCCACCGAAACCGGAACCGGCAACGAGGACGATGTTGGGGCAACGACGAACAGCGGAGTACATGCTCAACATAGGAGCGTGGAAGTCCTCGAAGGAGTGGTGTCCACCGGCACGACCACCAGTCCACTGCATGATGATAGGGAAGTGGGGGTTGGCCTTGGCAATGTTGATAACCTGTTGGATGGCATCGGCAGATCCGGGCTTGAAGGAGATGTGCTTCAAGCCAAGAGTGGCAACGAGGTCGTTGGCGATCTCAATGGAGGGAATACCAGCAGCGACCGTAACACCCTCGATCCTGTATCCGGAGTCACGGAGGGTCTTGACGAGGGGCATTTGCCACTGGTAAGTTCTAGGGTTGATGTAGATGATGTTGATGGTGATACCAGAGCCGGGAGGGGTGTTGTCCTCGATCTCCTTGACGGCAGCGGTCATGGCAGCGGGGCTGTAGTAACCACCTCCAGCCAACTCGATGTGGTAACCAGCGTTCATGGTAGCAGAGATGAAGCTAGCAGGAACGGTGGAGGGGGTCATACCGGCCACCATCACGGGAGGCTTACCCAACAAGCGGGAGAAAGGTGTGTCGACGTAGATACGGCCAGCCTTGTTCTTGACGAGACGGGGCTGGTACTCCTTAAGCCAGTCAACAGCAACCTTGACAGCCTGCTCGGAGCGGTCGAAGAGCTCGGGCTTGAAGCCCATCTCGGCGTTGTTACCCTCGAGAGCACCAGCCAAGATGACACGGACACCGGTTCCATCCTTGTTGCGGTGAGTCAAGGCACCCAAACCAGACATACCACCAGGACCGAAGTCAATGATAGCCTTAGCACCGGGGAACTTGGTAGCGGTTTCCCAGTTAACGACCTGGTGACAGATCATTTCAACCAACTCCCTCTTGACATCCTTAAACTCACGCAAGTCAGCGCCGGACCCGGTGTGGTAGACGGGGATGGTCATGTCGCCCTCGAAGTCAAGACCCTGGAGGTCAGACAAGATGGTCTCCTCGCAGGAGCCCTGGAGGTACTTGCTGTGGAAGGGAACGGAGATTGGCAAGAACCTGTTAACGAAGCGCTGCTTCCTCTCAGAGTAGGGCACACGGCCTTGCTCCAAGCCAGCAGGAGCTTTAACCTTGCGCAACCTCAAATTCAAACCGTACAAAGACTGAGGGGGACCGGTGACGACAACGTTTCTGGGGCCGTTGATGAGGGCGATGGCGATGTGACGGTCCTCGGGAAGATGCTGGTTAGTGGCATCGATGTGGGCCTGAACGTCCTTGACGCGCAAGTCACGGATGGATAACATAGGAGTAGGGGTACCCTCTCCGGCGCCAAGGGAATCCTGCAAAGCCGATGGTGGCAGGGCAGTAGTGGGATAAGTTTGCTGAGCACGGCAACCGATCCAGAAGAGCATGGTAACGGCAACCGCACACTCCTTGTAGAAGCTCTCCCATGAGCTGGAGCGAGCGACAGCAACAGCGGTGATGATACCCTGGGAGTGACCGGAGGTACCGGACAAGTAGTCCTTGAACTCTCCGGGGTTACGGCCGAGGATCTTGCATGCAACGGCGTAGTGTGCAAGCTGAGTAACACCGATCAAAGGCAACGACACAGGTGCCGAGACCATGTAGTCCAGTTCGGGGGTAGACTCGGCGTCGTTCAACCAAGTCATGACGTCCATACCCTTAGAGTAAACGCCAGCCGCCTTAGGATCTCTGGCCAACTTGCCCAATACAGCGGCCATGAACTCAACAAACTCAGATACCAGAGCACCGTAGAGGTCGTAGGTGTCGCGCAACTCATCGAAATATTCCTCAATGTTACCCTGTCCACCGAAAACAGCGTAGATATTGGAGGTGTTGTTGCGGAAGAGCGCAGCCGGGTGAGGCTTGATGGTTTTGGAAAGAAGGGTGCGGGCGAGGTAGTAGTTCTTGATCACCAAGCGGTGCTTCTCCGCATCGCCAGGAAGCGTGGTCGCAACGGCGTGAACCTCATTTCCGTTCAAAAATCTTGCCTCAAACTCGGCCAAAACAGTTCGAAGAACCTCCTCATAAACGCCGCTCTCTTGCTTAGCTGCCGCTGCAACGTGTCCCAAAAACCTAGCAACGAGCTCAGTCACGCTTGAAGGCTCCTCCACGAGGTCAAATCCCTCAGTAGGCGTAGGAAGAGTAGAGTGAAAGGAGTCGCGAAGCTGCGTAGCGAGAAGGAAGGAGGTGTTGGGGATCAAAACGGTGTGCTCAAGGGAACCGTGCTGGAGGGTGAGCGGACGAGGAGTCGTCTGGACGTGTGGGGTCGCGAAGCCGGTCTCCATTGTCGGTTATTGAAAGAAAGGAATTCGTGAACGTGTAGGCTGCGGGGAGCGGTCGATATTCCTTATTCCTCGCTCAAGATCAATCCCGTCAAGGGCTCGTTGGTCTGAAAGGGTGTGGGAAATTGGAGGACGGGCGGTCGCTGGGGTCTTATATCGAGACAATGGTGGTCCGCTTAATACACCAAGAGTCCGGATGGGGAAGGGAGGGATGGGTGAGAGAGTAAGGTGATATCGAACCGATATAGCTATCCCGTTCAACAACCCAAATTTTGGTGGGGCATGCGACCTGCACAGGCATCGCGCTAAGTACTGCCCAGATCACCTTGTTGAGGCGAGCGCGTGTCGTTGGGGGTCCGAAATCCAATGGATATCCTCCGGTCGGCCGGTGCTCCGTGATCGTTTAGCCAGTGGGGAAAGGTAGGGAATGATCAAGACAGTAATAGAAGATAGATAGAAACACTTTTGGGCGACGAGGCGGCCTGCTCACGTGACTACCGACGTCCAACGCGTTACCGTGCAGTAGCCAGGCGTGAGATATGTGTACGAGACCGCGTCGTCGCAATATACCCCAGATCACTCTACAATGGCACCCTCCTTCCGTGATGACCACCTTGTAATCCTCGAAGTCGGCGACAGATACCACCGCGCCATCCTCGGCCTCGAGGATCCCCTCGCTCCTCCGAAGCACGTCGTCCTTTCGTGTGTTCGGCGCACGACTTCAACATCGAAAGCGACACGCGATCAGTGGGAATTGGTATCAGAAGAGGATGCTGAGCGAGATTTGCTTGAGCGGTCGGATGCGCAGCAGTCTTACGAGACGCAGGACGTCAAGGAGGGCGAGATCGTGTGGCCGGTACATAACGGAGATGTAGTCAATTGGAGCGCGGCGGAGGGATTATGGTAGGCAGACATGTGTGAGAGTTAGTATCACTTTACTGATTGGTCTACAGGTATCACATTCTCCATACCACACTGGGTCTGCAACCTTCCTTTGCCAACCCCATCCTCTTGATCCATCCTCCACAATTCCTCGGACAACAACAATCACTCCTCTTCGCGACCCAACTATTCATCGAAAACCTCGGGTGTCAAGCCTTCAGACCGCTTGAGTCAGGCCTAGCGTCAACGTACGGCTACGGTGTCTTGAGCGCGCTCGTGGTGGATGTTGGATACTCAAGGACGGATGTTACGGTGATCAGCGAGACTCAAGTCCCCGTTGGTGGACGTGCGACGGTGCCAATCGGTGGAAACCACTTCACGAAGGCATTGGCAGCACTGGTAGAAGGCAACCTTCGTGCAGCGGAAGCACTGAAGCGATCAGGGTTGGTCGAGGTCTTGGTGGAGGGTGATCTGCCAACGCTTGACGAGGTCGAAGGTGCGGCTGGCGCAGGTGACGCCGAGGATGTTGAGGATGTCGCCGCTATTGTCGCAGCAGGAAAGACGAAGGAATACCTGGAGCAAAAGGCACGTGAAAAGGCAGAAGGCAAAGCTCCCGCAGAGGAAGCTGCCCAAGAAGAGCAGAAAGACAACAAGGAAGTGGAAATCGCAAAGTTCGAGTTCGAAGGAAAGGACTATCTTGTTGACCGAAATCGCTTCAAGGCTACGCAAGCGCTCTTCGGTTTGTCGTCGGAGTATGCTGATCTCATCACCGCAATCGCACATGTCGTTAACGCCCTTCCTGACCCTGAGAAACGTCAAGAAGCATGGGACAATATCATCATTACTGGCCACGGATCTAGAATTCCCGGTCTAGCATCCCACATCCTTGCAGAAATTTACGCACGACACGTCCTTACTTCCGCGTCAACCGCCCCAATCGCCTCCCGCCCTGGCTTTCCATCTGACTCAACAGGCGCGAACACACCCTCAGGATCAACACCAGCACCATTCTACCCGATGATGTCAAGCGGTGCTCAGCAAGTACCCAGCTCAGCAAGAATCGTCAAGCTACCAGAATACTTTGTGGAGTGGAAGGGTGTGGGGAAGGCCGAGGATTCTGCGGTGTTGGGTGGATATTTGGTGGCGAAGGTTGTGTTTACTGGAAGAGAAGGAGGATGGGTAGGGAAGGCTGAGTATAATGAGAAGGGACCTGAGGCTGTTTGGGATCTGTGAGGAGGGTAGACCGAGATAAACTCAGGCTTCATCAAGTCACGCGTACCCATTAATTGAGAATAGACCATTTACCCCAGCCCCAACTCCTTGCATAGCTGTTCCCGTCGCTTACGTTAGACTCGTTCGTCTTTCTAAACTGTTGTCTTGTATGCGGTCTCGGGACGTAACCAGCTGCCATGCATGTTCGGCAGAGCTTCCGTAACTGCGCAATCCGGGCCCAACCAAGGCCAAGGCTCGATGGGCCTCAAGGGGAAGACATGGATTCTCCTTGCTCGATGATCGACGAAAATTCAGGTCAAGTGCCAGAGCAGGTGACATCCGCATTGAAGCATTAAGCTCATAGGAGCGAAAGATACGTCATCTTGACCAACGACAGACATGGCTGCTCCCACGGTCCTCCCACCTTTAAATACTTCAGACCTGTCCACCTACGATTCGATCCCACATAACCAAGCATCATCAAACAATCCGTAAAGCTCAATCACACATATCATGGCCTCATTCCTCTCCAACAACCCCGGTGATGTGACTGATCCCGTGACGGGAGACACCAACCCCGGTTCGTCCTCCTTCTCCCAGAATTGATCCCCAGCCCCGCCCTCACACACCATCTCTAACAGACAGGATCCCTGGTAACGCCGACAACGACCTCTTCAACGACGCCAATCAAGACGCCGTCGGCGGCAACAAACCCAGCATGCTCGACCAGTTCGGCCTCGGTTCCGATGCCAGTACCGGCTCCATGACTGGCTCTGGCCGCCACGAACCCCCGAACGTCCCCGGAGCCGGCGACAACGACCCCATCGATGCCGGAGCTGGTCCCAGTCCTGGTGTTGAGAGGCCTGCTGTCACTGGCTCTACGGACGAGTCCAGTTTGTTGGACAAGGCTTCTGACCTTTTCAGCAAGGTACGTGAGCTATGATGTTTCGTGCGATGTTCTAATTCAATTCCTCACCAGTGATTTTCTAGTTAGGCGGGGCCTAAGGAGAGAGTTGAAATGGCGGATGCCCAGTTTGGTGGGATGACTGATGTGAGGGCCGCTGCCTATTTGGAGTGAGTCATAATTGTACGATAACTATATTCTGTGTAAGATTCTGTCGCTGCAGATATCATTTTGGAATGCAAAGCCTCCTTTGGGGCTACCGGTATCGTTGTTCGTGCGTGTGTTCACATTTCCCACGCCGCCTGGAAGACGACTTATCTGAACGTGTTCACGCAGAGAAGAACGTAAGAAAACCCAAGTGTATTTTGAATCGCTCTGCAAAATTCTAGTCAGAGTCCATCCATAAGTGTTGTTCATTCAAGAAAAAGTCCAAACTCCCCGTCGACCCATCCCGTCTCCTGGTATCGTACACCATATTCTCTCCTCCGTTGTCCTTAAGCCAACACCGCCCCTTCCGCCACCAACCTCGTCCTAACAGAGTCATAATCAACCCCCTGTACCGTATCCCCCCTGTCAATCGCCACAACCGCCGCGGCCCCTGCCGCATGCCCCATCATCATATACACCGGCTCCATCCTAATACTCCTATACGCCAAATGCGTCGAACTCATACACACGGTCACCAACAGGTTAGACACTTCCTCGGCGCGAGGGAGGAGGGAGCGGTAGGAGATTGGGTACGGGTGCGGGATTTTGTTTTCCCAGGAGTTTGAGCCGCCTTCGGTTGCCGTCGTCCATACTTTCTTCCCGTCCTTTTTGGAAATCTGCGTCGGAATTCTTTGAATGAAATGCGCATCGAGGGCGTAGGAGCCGAGGGCGATGGTGTCGTTCACTGTCTCGTTCCCGCGGATGTTGCTTTCCGTCATGACGTATTCACCCCTCATCCTTCTTCCCTCGCGGATATATATCTGGAATGGCCAACCCTCACTGTCTTTGAATTCGTCTGCGCACAACCCAATCTGTTCAACCCGATTCCGGACAGGCTGCGGAATCGTGTCGTTCGTCCTTAAATACCAGAAAAGTCCCTCGAGGTAAGTCCTATGCGCACTCATGAGCTGCCCTCTGATCGTCCAACTCCCATTGGGATAGTTATAGCTATACCCAACCATATCCGTCGAGAACTGCCCCTGGTTATTCAGGTCATACTTCCCATTCGGTAACCCCGAAAGCTTCAAATACGTGTTCGTATCAACCTGTGAGCCATTTGCCAAGAGTGCCTTAGTGTACCGCCCCAACCATTCGAATTGCTCGGGGTCGTAGCCGGCGGGTTGGGTGAGATTGATCCGGTTCTTGGGGTTTTCGGTGACGCAGAGGCGGTAGTTGTAGGACATGATTTTTTGGTCACCGGTGCCGGGGACTGGGGCGGTGTTATTATGGACGTTGGGGAGGACGCCGCTGGAGGGGTCGCCTTCGATTTTCCATGGGTCGACGATGATGCCTTGCCCGATGCTCTGGGGTTCGGTTGCGCCGGCAGTTGATTCATTGAATTCGGATTTTGATTCTCGGCCGACGACGTAGGTCACGTTTGCCATGGCCATGAGATCACCTTCGTAACTTGCGTCGATAAAGATGTCGCCGTAAATTATCTGTCCATTCTCTAACTTCACAGACGTGATCTTCCCCGGCTTTCTTGATACGCTCGTAAGTTTGTTGTTGTATAGCGTCGCAACGTTCTTCACCTCCGTAATCATGTCATGAAAGACACTGCTCGCAACATGAGGCTCAATCGCATATTGAGGTCCCTTCTTTCCATAGGCTTTACCCACACGGGTGAAGAACTCCAGAGCAATACCTCCAATCGTTGATGAATTGCCCGTATCGACCCAACCGAGGCCTGATGCGGTCATTCCGCCAAGGTGACTGTGGGGTTCGATCAGGATGACACTTTTCCCACCAGTGCGAGCAACCTCGACGGCGGCGATGACACCGGAGGACGTCCCTCCATAGATCACAACTTCCGCAGATTGTGAATTGGGGGTTGGTGCAGCATATACTCCGACGAGATGCGTCAGAGCGAGCGTAAGCAATTGAAACAACGGTATTCTCATGATCATCAGTGCGCGATCACACAACTCTCTCACTGAACGATGTTCCGATCCGACAATGGTTGCAGGGCATGGCAAACTTATAGAGATTCTCCTTGCGGTTCATGGGTAAGATCTAATCTTCTCGGTAGAAGTTTAAGGAATCTCATGTTAGTCTCAGGATATCTACTGCCAAGAGCGACAGCGTCATGGCGCAGCTCTAGAAGCACCCAAGGGCCTCCCTAGTCTAAAAAGCCGGGAAGCCACAAAAACGACCCACCCAGGACTCGAACCTGGAATCTCTTGATTCGTAGTCAAGCGCCTTAACCATTGGGCCAGCAGGTCACTAGATAAGTCTTTGAGCGCCATTGACCCTTTTACCTGCGGTCGTACGCGGCAAACGGCTCGGTGTTTCGGTTTTCCCACTGCCACTCACATCCACCACACTCCACAATCTCTCCACCACCCTGTATCCCCTCAAAGCCACATCCCGGAGCCTCCTGCCATCTATCTCCGCGGCACAGCGGCTCACTTTCCCCGCTCGCTCCTTTGCACGATCCATTATGGCGTCGTCAAGCTCAAGTGCGTCCGCAAACGGTGTTCCCGATTTTGAAGCGAGACAATGGGATCGGTTGGCAGTTCGTATGGAGGGGTTCCACAGTTACTTCCGGGTATCTTTCAATTCCATTTATGATGTGAGTTTGAACTGCTCCCACCCTCTTTGTCTGCGAGTTCATTGGCTAACCCGACGTTGCACAGCTCGCCGATAAGTTTGAAGACCAAAAGATTACGCTGCAGGATTTCGTAGATCATGCCTTAGAGCTCGATTCACATCTCCATACCCACCACTCCATCGAGGATATCTACATCTTCCCTATCCTGGGAAAACGCATGCCCGCCTTCGCACCCACGGGTACGCACCCCGAACACCATCGACGTATCCACGAAGGTCTGGAACAGTACGTTCAGTACCTCAAAGCCGTGAGGGCTGGGGCAGAAGACTACGACGCCAAGGTCCTACGGGAGAAGTTGGCTGCGTTCAGAGGTGTTTTGTTTGAGCATCTGGATGAAGAGGTTGAGCATCTAAGGGGTGAGAACATGAGAAAATACTGGACGTTGGATGAGGTGAGGCGTTTGCCGATGTAGTTTTCTCACAATCTACAGGATCTAGGATACCCAGTCATATACCCAATCAAGTCATGCCAAATAGAGTATGTACAAAATGCTATATATTCGCAAGTAAAGGACGCAAATCTAAGAGTAGCCGCAATATCGTCCCATCTACTTTTCCAGGTACTTCCCCTCAAGATTCCCCTTCGCAAACTGCGAAGGCACATCAACCCTCTTTCCACTCTTCGGCAGCGTAATATCCTTCGGCTTATTGTCAGCAAACAACGCCTTAAACACCTGCTCGATCACATAACACAACACAAAGTCCGCGGCCATGACGAGGGTAAGTGTCATCTTGAATGCATCCTCGAACTTGACAAGGCGGAGTTTCTCGTTGATTTCGGGGACGAACTCGGTGGCGCAGGAGAAAGCTATGAAGGAGACGGAGAGGAGACCCCAGTACAAAGCCCTGTTCTCACGGATGGACTCGCGGAAGGGACGGCCTTGGTAGTTGACGACGAAGGTGGAGACCTGCTGAGAGAGCTGGATCAAGTAGATAGCACTGTTCAACAAGCTCGGAGAGAACTCGGCCTCGAGATCGACGTTGATCTCCTTCTTCTCATAGGTTCCGACGACGCGGTCGATGTAGATCAGAGAAGCAACGTGAACGGCAAACTGCAACAAGATAGACCCGATGATGTACATGTTGAAAATATTCGGCTGAGGACGCTCCTTGGAAAGCTTCTCGACGGGCTTAGCCTTCGAAATACAGAGGAAGCAGACAGACATCAACATTCCAGAGATAGTAACCTGACCATCACCGAACTTGATACCATCGAGGTAGAGGACAGAGAGGGAGTACGCCGAAATCAAACAGTTAAGCGCCAAGATCTTGTACATCTGAATGGTGGCGACGAGGGTACAACGTCCCTGACGGATGATGTTCGCGATAGCCATGACGTTGGTCAACTTAGACGTGAACGGCGCAGCGACACTAGCATCACCGAGCTTGATCGTAGGCGCGTCGTCTTCCATATCCTCCATAGACTGCATAGCACTGAACATCTTGTTCGCCAACTCAGCGCTCTTCTGTGCCTGCTTTTCCTGCGGGGTCAACTCCCTAGGCGCCTCGACACCGTTGCCCTTGGTGGTCTCGCCCAACTTCTCGAGGGTCTTCTGTGCCATATCCAGAGCCTTCTCCCTATGAGGGTTTTGAGGGCCGGGAGGGTAGAGGTGAGCCAAAGCCGGGGGCACGGGTGGGGGAGGCGCGTTAAACCTAGCAGAGATCGACTTCTGCTTCTCGTAGACTCCCTTCATGCGCTCAGTCTGAGCGTGCTGGGCTATCTTCTTCAAGTCGTCTTCAGTACCGTTGAGGAGCGCAACACCGATGTGGGCCTGCTTGAGGGCTCCGACATCGTTGGTTCCGTCACCTGCCATGAGAGTGTAGTACCCGGCTTCCTTGAGGCTGACAAGGATGAACTCCTTCTGCTTAGGGGAAACACGGGCCCAAACCCAGGTACGCTTGATGAGCTCGATGATGTCCTGACGACCCTCGAACTTTGCCAAAGCAAAGCCGGTAACACAGAGGTCGTAGCTGTTGAGGAGGTTCATATCGAATGCATCCGAAGGCTTCATGGGGATAACGGTAGCCTCGTCGATGGTACGCCATTCGAGCTCGTGAGCACTCGTGGGGTCTTCAGGTGCATCCAAGATCAAGACTTCACGTTCAACAATCTCGACCTCCTTAGCGACGTGCACAGCGGTCAAAGGGTTGTCACCGGTAATCATGACGCAACGGTGACTAGATTCGTTAAGCATTTTAACAGTATCCTTGGCATCATCCTTGAGAGGACAGTGGAAAATCAAGAAACCGGCAAACTCGAGACTGCCCTCAACTTCCTCACGAACCAAGCCGTTAATCTTATCCAGACTCAAATTCTCGCTAGTGTACTTGTAACCCAAGGCCAACACTCTGCTACCCTTGCGGGTAAAGTGCTTGTAGGTATCCTCGTATCCGGCAGGAACATTAACAAGCATCTTGCGAATAGTTTCAGGGGCACCCTTGACGGAGATCAAAGTAGACTTCTTGCCATTGGGAAGGACCAAGGAGGAAATAGTACTCTGCCTCTTCAAGGCACTAGAGAACTGGAAACGACGACGGATGGAGATCTGGGTGCGGGCATGAGCGGAAGTGGAAGCAGGAACCAAAGCACCGTTCTTTCCAAGCGTCCAGTCAAGAGCCTCGAGAGTTGCCTTCTCCATCGGGTCACCCACGATTTCGCCATCCTCGAGCTTAACCAGAGCATGAGCCGTAGCAAGAACCAAAGTAGAAGCATCCGTGGCATCCTTGACCTGAGCCATCTCCTTGGGAGCATCGACCTTGAGTCCGGCAACACCCTCAACGACGAGGTCCTCGGTGGTAAGGGTACCAGTCTTGTCGAAACAGCAAACATCAACACGACCAGCGAAAGGAATGCGGAAAGGCTCGGTACAGTAGATGTAGTACTTGCTCAAAGCAGCCAGGGAAGAGTTCACAGCCATGGACAACTCCATAGGGAGCTCAGGAGGGACAACGGAAGTAACAATGAGAACACAGTCAAGCATCAACTTGCTCTGCTTGCGGTTCTGCTTGACACCCTCCTGCCAGACATACCATGAAGCAGCGATGGCGAAGACCAACAAGAAGAGAATGAAATACAGCGCTTCGGCGTTGTTGGCAGAAACACGCTCCGTGGAGTAGATCATGGTACGAACGAGAGATCCCTGAGACGTCTCGAAACCAGTACGGGTAACAACAGCAAGAGCGCCATTATCAGGGGCACCAGAGATGTCCAAAGCACCGGGAACGTTCTCCTGAGCCTTCGAAACGGACGGAGTAACCTGCAAGACCTTCGTTCCTCCCCAAAGGAAGGCGTTCTTGTCCATACCCTCAAAGTCGATAACTTCATTAGAAGGCCTGAGAGCAATAGACTCCTTGACAAGAGGCGTAGATTCACCAGAAAGCATAGCCTCGTTGACAACAGCAGTACCAGAAATCAAAACCATATCACAGGGAACACCACTGTCATCCTTGGTGCGAACAACAGAAACAAGGTCTCCAGGGATGAGCTCGTCAGTCTTGGTCTCGACCCACTTGTTCTCGCGGCGGACGTAGATATCGTAAGGCTTGATAGACATGGAACGGAACTCATTAAGGGTGCGCTGACGTTGGAAGACGATAGTGCACTCGAAGACAACGAGCATGAACAATGTGAAGAGGGAGTAGTACCAGTACTCATCGAGCAGCCAAAGACCGACACAGAAAAGCTGGAAGACGAAGAAGGGTGCAACAGCGTGCTCCTTGAAGAGCTCCTGGAACGTAGGGATAGGAATGTCGAAACGGTTGAGACCGTACTTGCGCTCCGCATGCTCGAGATCACTCTTGCTCTGCAATCCATGAGACTGCTGGAACGACTTCAACAAAGGCTGTTGATCGATAGGGAAGACGACCTCTCTGAACACCTTCTTGTCGGCGTCAAGAATGAATCGCTTCTTCTGCCAGAGGAAGCTCGTCTCAACATCTTCACCGGGGAACTGCGTGCGAACGAGGTCACACATCTCCGCCTTGCCCTCATTCGGCGCAGGGTATACTAGAATGCTCTTCGCATCCTTCAATGACTTCGCCTTAGTCGCAGTGGTGCGTGCCTTGATCTTGACACTCCAGTGACCACTGAGCCACACCAAACTCTGAAGGGTGATAATGCTGCCGAGAATGACAAAGTTGAGCTCGGGTGACCAGTCACGATTCAAACGGAAATAGATATAGGTTGGGTAAACCGCTAAGAACGGGGTGATGTAGGCATGGGACAACCGTGGAAGCGGATTGTGCAGCGATGCCGACACGATTGACGGCGAATCGACAAGGTTGACCGACCTGAAATAGCATGTTAGCACAGCATATACTACTCGGTCAGAAGCGACTCACATGATGGCGGCTCCCCTCTACTGATTATGTCGAGGTGTGCTTCTGCTGCTTCGATGACTTTGCGGACATGTAGGCGTGGCCACGCGCCTCGACGTCGACGTACGGTTCGGTGTGCGGACTGGGCTGGCAAAAAGGGACAGTTCTTGAATTAAACCAGGAAAGTTCAGCTCATTCAATGACCTGCTGGCCCAATGGTTAAGGCGCTTGACTACGAATCAAGAGATTCCAGGTTCGAGTCCTGGGTGGGTCGTTTTGTTTTTGTAAGGCTTTTCTTTCGGTGCTATCATTTGTTTGGTGTTTGGCAAGACCTCACTTGTCACGCCTTGGAATGACTTCATTCACACAGGACGGGAGCTTGTCGTTGTCGCCAATTGCAACGTGTTGGCAGCATCCGCCTGCAGGATGCTCCTACCGGTACTCGTAGTCGGCCCATGGCCATATAATATTGGCAGCGCGGGCCGCTCCTGGCATGACGACCATACGCTGGACTCAACACGCTTCTGCTTGCTTCACAAGATTCTTCACTGGACCTCAAATCCAAATACTCTGGTTGCCCACGACGTCTCTCACATCTTCAGGATCTTGCCAATCAGTCAATCCACCGATGGTTCTCACGCCTTAGAGGCACGATTCAATTTCTTCGATGCTGCCCATGGTCACGACCATGAACATCACAATCCTAGCAAAGCCTTTTCAAACGATAGCTGATACGATTGTCCATGGCTGTACCTGCTGCAGCGACCTAAACTACCCCGAGAGGTATACACCCCAACCCTCCCGCTCAGTGTCTCCGTATCCTACAGGCGTCCGCAGTACGCAGCCATCATTCAACGCTGCCAATGTTATGAGGCAAATCAACCCCCCGCGCCGTCGTGATACGGATCCAGACTATGAACTACCAGCATATGATTCTTCGGAGTTCAAGCCTTCCGCCTCGGATGAGGAAAGACTGATCGATCACGACCTACGGGCGGTCAGGGAACTGTTACAGAGCAATCACGAGGAATTGATGTTAGCCAATGGAGGTGGGGATGGTTCATTCACTGGAGACGGTGTCATGCTGCCACCACCGGCTTACAAGTTGCCAAGTCGAGCTCCAACTTATAGGAGCATGAGGAACAGCAGTATCAGGAGTATTGCAGGGAGGTATTCGAGGTTAGGACGGGCGGAGGAGCAGGGAACTGCTCAGGAGACTGTTGTTGAGGTTGCTGAAGAGGGATTCGAAGCCCAAGATTTACGATGAGAAAACCATGCGTACAGGAAGCACCTCGTATGACCTACTTAACTCCGGTCCATTGAGGTGATATGCTATGATAAAGCGGTCCTTCCATATGCATCCTCCAACTGCAATAACCACATTTATATGGCGAGTCTAAAATACGCATGGAGCCGACACTGCAATATGCACCAAGAGGTCCTTTTTTGAAACCTCACCCAATTCGCAGACGACAATCAACGGTTTCCCACGCAAATGCCGGTTCATGCAAAATACACGCACCCCACAGTCCACAACTGCCGCAACACAGAAGCGTTGTACGTGCCCAATCGCATTACATCGGCACAATGATGTACGATGAATGGGCATATACGGCCCATGATCAGGCAGAGCAGCCTCTACAAAATGGAGGAGCAGAAGCACTGGTGGAGGAGATTGCTCTACCAGTGCCAGATCTTGTGCGACCGGTGACAGTAGAACCGCCAAGAGCCGACGTCCGAAAGAGAGCCGACACAATCGATACGCACCGTCAATCAATTTCTCTGCTTGATGATGCGCATACACCCGGGTGGATTGAGGAATTGCAGATGGCCGAGGATGATCGTACATTCTCGGAGTGGTTTGAAGGCGTGGAAGACGAGATGGCTCTAGCGGAAGAGGAAGCTTACCGGTCCGTGTCTTTACATCTCTATCAAACCTTCCTACTGACTTGTCTCATAGCGCTTATCGAGCCGAACTATACTCATCGCTCGCGACGTGTCAATCTCTGATCGTTGATGCAACCTCTTCTCTTGATCTCCTCGACTCCATCTCTTTCGGGCTTGATCAAATCAATTCCCGAACATCAACTTTCCAACAACAATGCGAGGCACTGCTTGATTCACAGACACGTCTGATGGACACCGCGGACGCAATTTCAACGAACTTGCAGCCCTTCACCTCGCTCGACTTTTTTATGCGCAAGCTTAATGCGCCCGGTGCCGACTTTGTTACTGCTCCAGACTTTGCGCAGATGTTGGCTGAGCTAGACCAGTCGCTGAGATTCATGGATGATAAGTCTGACTTCCTGGATTCAGGTGCATACAAAGCCCGTCTCAGGCATTGCATGACGCGTGCTATGACCCTTATCCGGGTGTACTTCGTCAACAAGGTGAAGGAGCTGGGGTCTGATGTCCAGAGACAGCTAGCTGCGCCTGGGGTGAGTGATACCACACGGGCTACCCTGGTGTATACGAAGTTTCGCGTGCTTGGACCACACCTCGCTCCTCTGGTGGAGCATATCAGCATTCGTGCCCGAACACACCAGGAGTACAATGCTCTGCTGGGCGAGTGCTTTGACTACTACTTTGGGTTGCGCCGTCAGCTCGTTAATCCCAATGTTACGAAGCGCGTTGCGGAGATCAATGCCGCACACAAGGACCTGGTGAGTTTCGCCAGGAGCGCCATTGGGTACATCAAGACGATTTGTGTAGACGAACGTGTTCTCTTTCGCACATACGCCCGCCGGAACGGGGACGACAGTCTGAAGGCGTATCTCCAAGGCATTTGCGCGGCTATCTTGGAACACTTGAAGCCACGGGCTGCCAAAGAGCAGAGCTTGAATGAATTGTGCGAACTGTGTACGTTCATTCAGTCGCAATATCACCAAGGGCATGAAGGAGAAGAAGTGAATCCGTTTGACATTATCAAAGGAAGCAATCCTGAGTACCAGAACGCTTCGAAAGGACCTGACTTCCACGTTCTGTTCCAACCCGCCCTTGTCGACATTCAACGTCAAATCATCCTGCGCGTCCGTACTGCTATTTCGAAAGGTATTCAAAACTATACGCCCACTGACGCTGATCTCGATTACCCGAACAACCTGGTCAACACAAACAGCTCCGCTAGTGTCCTGCTCACGCCAAGCACCCCGATGCCGAAAACACCGAAGATTGTCGAATGGGATTACGCGAGGAGCCCGGATTTGGGAGATGAGTCGAGGTATTATCTCGATACGGGAAGTTTCGTACAGGGCTGGTATCCCACGATGAGGAACGCTATTGCACTCTTGTCGAGAACCCATGGAATACTGAGTTCACGATACTTTGACAACCTTGCCCACGAGATCGTTCGTGCGTGCATCACCTCCTTGGTTAAGGCCTTCACCCTCATCTCGACGAAGCACTCTCCGATCGATGGGCATCTCTTCCTCATTAAGCATCTCCTTATTTTGAAGGACCAAGTCTCCGCTTTCGACATCAACGCGTACACGGAGCCGGAACCTGCGGAGTATGTTGGTTTGGCTGGTGCAGTCTCTGAAATCTTCTCGACCGGAGCAAGTCTGCTCTCCCCTGGTATTTTCAGACGAATCACCGGGGTCGGAACAGATGACGGTACGAACAAACCCGACACCCGTACAGAGCTTGATGAGAGGTTGCGTAAGGCTGTCAATGGATTGACGGACTTTTGTACGACAGCATTGACAGCACCTCTGTCTTCTTCTAGTCCACCTGCAGTGCAGTTGAGCGAGTTCAGGGTTAAGGCTCAGAGTGAAGTCCCTACATACGAAGACAAATTCAACAAATACTTGGAAGATGAACGGACCACGGCGATCTTGTTGGGTGCTATTCAAGACGGAATCAGCGAAGCGTACGAGAAGTACTATCAAAACCGTGTTCGAGACGGGAAGGCAGGGAGCAGGGAGGAGGATGTATGGGACGCAGCTCAGATGCTGGACTGGCTGGATGGGATCATGGCACATCAAAGAACATCATACATTGAGGGAGATGAGAAGATGAGGGCAGGGTCACTAGGTGACACGAGCCTGTCTGCATTGGGCATCAATACGTGAAGCCCTACAGTTGATTCAAGACCAAAGATGCTATCTTACTCGATCTTTGACAGTCCAAATCGCTCATTCAACATCTTCTCAATCTCGTCTGCCTTCGCCTTACCGCGTGTTTCACTCATAACCTGTCCAAGCAAGAACTTGATCACTTTCACCTCTCCGTTTCGTACTTGTTCCACTTGCTTTGGATAGTTCTCCAAGACTTTATCCACAATACCTGCTAATGCTCCAGCGTCCGACAATGCCCCCAATCCATATGCTTCGATAATCTCTGCCACATCACGACGATCACCACCGACCATGTGCTCAACGATCTGTTTTCCTGCGGTACCGGTGATGTCTCCCTTCTCCACTGCACTCACCAGGTCACCAATCTGCTGTACCGTCACAGGGTTCTCCTGAACGGAAATTTCTGCAACGCGCAACTGTCCAAATAACTCGTGAACAATCCAGTTAGCGGTTGTCTTTCCCTTCTTCTTTGATTTTGCCTTTGCTGCTATTTCTCGAGCTGTTTCATAGTACTCCACTGCTCCTGCCTCTGCCATCAATGCCCGTGCATCCTTCAGTGGAAGGGAGTGAGGTGGCGCAAGAAGTCTATCCAGCCGTGCATCCGGAAGTTCAGGTTGCGTAGCGAAAGCTTTGGAAACAAAATCCTTCCCTATCAGTAATGGCGGCAAATCTGGATCCGGCATGTATCGATAATCCACACTTCCCTCTTTCCCACGCAGTCGAAATGTCTCGCCTTTGAGTTGATTGAAACCTCGTGTCTCATTCGCAACCTCTTTACCAGACTCCAGGAGCTTGATCTGCCGCTTTGCTTCTGCTTCGACTGCCGCTACCACTGCTTTCACACTTGCCATGTTCTTGATCTCGCAGCGACGTTTCGGGCCGACGACACGTTCGTTTTCGCCTTCACGTGCTACAGAGACATTCACGTCACATCTCATACCCCCTTCTTCCATATCCGCGTCAGACGCTCCAACTGCACGGATCAAAGTCTGAATTTTCTTGAGTGCGGCACCCGCAGCCGCAGCGGAATTCATCGAAGGTGTTGTGACAATTTCAATCAGCGGCGATCCAGTGCGGTTCAGGTCGACCAATGTTTTCGGTGGTGTCGTGGGGAGGTATGTCGTTTTGCCAGTATCCTGCTCCAATTGCACCTGCTTGATCCCAACCTCGACTTCCTCCTCCTCAATACCATCTCTCTTCATAAGCCGCAACTTTCCGTCAACTGCAAATGGTCGATAATGTTGTGTGATCTGGTATCCTACAGGCTGATCTGGGTAGAAATAGTGTTTCCGATCCCACGTACTCTTACTGTTGACAGTGCAGTTGAACGCCAACGCAGCACGGACGCCGAGTAATACTGCATGTGGGTTGAGTCTAGGTTGTGTGCCGGGGATTGCTGCATCAAAGAGATCGACAGCGGTGTTTGGGATGGCTGCAAAGACAATGCGGGCCGGGGAGAAGAGTTTGCGGGGACTGCTGATACGGGCGTGAATCTCGAGGCCTACGGTGGTTTTCCATTGCCCAGACGATGGCGACATTCCTGGTGTTTGGCGGTGAGCGAACGGTCCCGTTGTACGACGCTGCATGTGCCTGGGACGTGCATCAGCTCGAAAGTTACCTCGACGACGTGCGGCAGAAGGTAACCTCCAAATATTCTAGCAAACAATGCCTTCCAGAACACAGGCCGACTCTATCGCTGCTCATGCCCCAGGCCTCGCAGAGCGCCCCGAGTGCCGTTCTGACTTGATCCAGTCTCTAGTCGACGGTGTTGACCGGTACGCGATCCGTGAAGACCGAGCGAGACACGTGCGAGAGTACTGACGGATTGTGGTGCAGTTACAACCCTGACAATGTGACCGTCTTTGAGGATTACCTTGCACAACAATGCCAGGATGGCACCTATGACTGCTTGGCCAACCTCGCCCTCTTGAAGCTGTACGTTTGTCCTTCCCACTCAGATGAACAGGCACTGACATTGGCCTCTATAGCTACCAATTCAACCCCCACCTCTTCAAGGACGAGCAATGTACCAACGCCCTCGTCAAGTCCCTGGCCGCCTTCCCGCAACCCGACTTCTCCCTCCACCTCCACCTCCTCCCCCCCCACGTCCTCGTCTTCACCTCCACCGACTCCCTCTCCGAGGCCGTCCAAAAACTCCAGGCACTCAATGCTGCCCTCTCATCCGCATCATACGCCAAGTTCTGGGAGATCTACAACTCTGACGACCTCTACGCAGACCTCGTCGCTGACTGTGCCGGCTTCGAGGCGGCGATTAGGAGGGGTGTTGCGAGGACCACTGCGCAGGCTTCGAGGGTGGTTAGCAAGAGTGTCTTGGGGTCATGGACGAATTTGAAGGGTGATGAGTTGGAGAACTGGGCTAAGGAGGTTTGTGGGTGGACCGTTGAGGGTGAGGAGGTTAAGATTCCGGTGAACAAGGACAATGAGGCGAAGCCGACGGTTGCGATGGAGAACATCAAGCTTGAGCAGTTGCAGCGCTTGATTAGGCACTCTGCTGAGATGTAAGTGCATTTGGATACCTAGAATTTTCGACAAAATATCATTTCGTTCTGCATAGCCTCTGCGATGACGATGAAACATTAGTCTATGTCATAATGTAATGTACATATGTACACGTTCATATTATCGGGTAACTATCGCTAACTCTTACAGCAAACCAAAAAGCCCAAGCAAAAACAAGAAAGGCGGGGAATCAAACTAATGCCATCTTGTTTTCATCTTTAGAAGTGGATGGCCTTGCCGTAGGTAGCCATGGCAGCCTCCTTGAACGCCTCAGAAAGGGTAGGGTGAGCGTGACAAGTCTTGGCAATGTCCTCGGAGCTAGCACCGTACTCAATAGCCAACACAGCCTCAGCAATCATCTCACCAGCGTTGGGTCCCATGATGTGGACACCCAAAACGCGGTCAGTCTCCTTATCCGAGATGAACTTTACCATACCCTCAGCATCCTGGTTGGTCTTGGCACGGGAATTGGCGGAGAAGGGGAAGGTACCCACGTTGTAGGGCCTTCCGGACTCCTTCACCTGCTGCTCGTTCTGTCCAACCCAGGCGACTTCGGGGTGGGTGTAGATAACGGAAGGAATGGCGTTGTAGTTGACGTGTCCATGACCAGCGTGGATGTACTCAACAGCGGCGATACCCTCCTCCTCGGCCTTGTGGGCCAACATAGCACCGAAGGTAACGTCACCGATACAACGGATGTGGGGAACCTTGGTGCGGTACTCGGAGTCGACGATGACGCGACCACGGTTGTCGAGCTCGATACCGACGTTCTCAAGACCGAGACCAGTGGTGTAAGGACGACGACCGATAGCGACGAGGACGACATCAGCCTCGAGAGTCTCGGGCTTGCCACCCTTGGCGGCATCGACGTCGAGCTTGACGACTTCACCGTCAACAGCACCCTTGACGACCTTGGTGTTAAGCTTGAACTTCAAACCCTGCTTCGTCAAGGTCTTCTGGAAAGCCTTGGCGAGCTCAGCATCCATACCGGCACCGACGGCGCCCATGTACTCGACAACGGTGACCTCAGCACCGAGACGGTGCCATACGGAACCCAACTCCAAACCGATAACACCAGCACCGATAACGATCATCTTCTTAGGGACAGCCTTCAAGTCCAAAGCACCAGTGGACGACACGATGCGCTTCTCGTCGAACTCCAATCCGGGGAAGGGGGTAGCCTCGGAACCAGTAGCGATAATAACGTTCTTGGCCTTGACAGTAGCGTCCTTCTCACCCTCGAGACCCTTGACGTCGATGGTGTGCTCATCGACGAACTGACCGGATCCCTTGTAGTAGGTGACGCCGTTCTTCTTGAAGAGGTACTCGATACCCTTGGTAAGGGAGGAGACGGAGGTGTCCTTGGCCTTGAGCATGTTGTCGAGGTTGAGCTTGACCTCGCCGACGTCGATACCGCGGCCTTTGGTGTCGTGGAGAATAGTGTGGTAGATATGCGAGTTGTTCAACATGGCTTTTGAGGGGATACATCCGACGTTCAAACAGGTTCCACCGAGAGCACCGCGCTTCTCGATACATGCGGTCTTCAAACCGAGCTGGGCAGCCTTGATAGCGGCGACGTAACCTGTAGAGATAACAATTGTTAATACCGTGTATATGCCGGATCACTTGATCCGTCTCGAAGTGGCAAAGGTCAACGAACCTCCAGGGCCACCACCGATAACAACGACATCGTGCTCCTCAGCAGCCTCAGACGCGTAGAAACGCTGGCAGAGAGGACTTAATCTTGAGGACTTGGCGGCAGAACGGAGGGTGTGTGCCGACTATTTCATCGCAACAACGTCAGCAGGCTGATCCAGGAGAAGCGGGAGAACGCAAGGGATGACAAACCTGGCGGAGGGATTGTGATGCGAGAGAAAACATGACTGTATCTTTGTGCCCTTTTTAGCAGGCGAGCTGTTCTATTTGTTCGGGACGGTCGTCGCTGGAGCGCAGGCGATTCTGTTGAGGTACCTGACTGCACCTCGTACATGCCGATCGCCCGTTTGTGCCCGAGAACGTAATTTATGTTTGAGTAATAACTGAACTAGGGGAGTTGGAAATGCAACCAGAATAGAGTAAAGAAAGACTGAGTGTATCTCGTCGACCCGACTCGGCACCCGAGTCACGAGATCCTCAACTGCCGAGGAAGCACAGCCCCCGATGTTCGACGAGAGACCCTCGGAAGAAAGCGCGACAGACACGATAAAGGACTGAAAGGCGATCCATAATGAAGAGTAGTAGCCCAGAAGCAACGAGAACTGCCGACTCTCACGTGTATATCGCAAGCAGAGTTTATCCGTGGGCATAGCGGTAGTCTTAGATCGTGCCTAGGTACGCCATCTCCAACCTGCAGGGCTCGAGCTCGAGACAAAAAGTTCTGAGCTGAAATCCTCGAGACTCATTCATCCCTTGAACATCATACAAAATGGCCACCGTCGAGTCTATGCAGAAGGTACCGGCGCCTGTCCCTTGATGTGCGCTCGTTCGTTTTGGCTGACTTGCTTTTCCACAGCTCATCCACGCTCGCCTCCCCGAGAGCGATGCCCAGGTCACCGAGATCATGGAGGCTGAGAAGCAGCGTCAGCAGGAGTCTATCGTCCTCATCGCTTCCGAGAACTTCACCTCCCGCGCCGTTATGGAGGCCATCGGTACGTTTTGAGTGAGATAAACCCGAGGAACTCATGACTGATCCGTCACTCGTTCAGGTTCCCACATGCAGAACAAATACTCTGAGGGTTACCCCGGAGCCCGTTACTACGGTGGTAACAAGTACATCGACCAGATCGAGACTCTCTGCCAGGCCCGTGCCTTGAAGGCCTTCAACCTCGACTCCGAGAAGTGGGGTGTCAACGTCCAGACCCTCTCCGGTTCCCCCGCCAACATGCAGGTCTACCAGGCTTTGATGAAGCCCCACGAGCGTCTCATGGGTCTTGACTTGCCTCACGGTGGTCACTTGTCCCATGGTTACCAGACCGACGCCAAGAAGATCTCCGCCGTGTCCACCTACTTCGAGACCATGCCCTACCGCGTTGACCTCGAGACCGGTTTGATCGACTACGACATGCTCGAGAAGACCGCTGTCCTCTACCGCCCCAAGATCTTGGTCGCCGGTACCTCCGCTTACTGCCGTTTGATCGACTACAAGCGCATGCGCGAGATCGCTGACCTCGTCGGTGCCTATCTCGTCGTCGACATGGCTCACATTTCCGGTTTGATTGCCGCTGGTGTCATCCCCTCCCCCTTCGAGTACGCCGATGTCGTCACCACCACTACCCACAAGTCTCTCCGTGGTCCTCGCGGTGCCATGATCTTCTTCCGCAAGGGTGTTCGCTCCGTTAACAAGGCCGGTAAGGAGGTCTTGTACGATATTGAGGACAAGATCAACTTCTCCGTCTTCCCCGGTCACCAGGGTGGTCCCCACAACCACACCATCACCGGTCTCGCCGTCGCTTTGGGCCAGGCTGCTACCCCCGAGTTCAGGCGCTACCAGGAGTTGGTCGTCTCCAACGCTAAGGTTTTGGAGGAGGAGTTCAAGCAGAGGGGCTACAATCTCGTCTCTGACGGTACTGACTCCCACATGGTCTTGCTCGATGTCAAGGCTTCCAAGAAGGTCGACGGTGCCCGTGTCGAGCGTGTTCTTGAGCTCATCAACATTGCTTGCAACAAGAACACCGTTCCCACTGACAAGTCCGCTCTCTCCCCATCCGGTATCCGTATTGGTACACCTGCTTCCACTACCCGTGGATTCCAGGAGGCCGAGTTCCGCAAGGTTGCTGAGTTCATTGACCGCGCATGTGAGATCGCTGTTGAGGTCCAGGCTGCTACTAACGGTGGTAAGCTCAAGGACTTCAAGGAGTTGTTGGGTGAGGGTGAGAACAACGAGAAGGTTCAGCAGTTGAGGAAGGAGGTTATTGAGTTGATCAAGCCCTTCCCCTTGGCCGCCATTGACTTCTAAGCCTGGAGCTTGAGGACGGACGGATGGCGTTCATGTATATTTTGTACGGTTAAAAGTTACGCTTCTTGATGGAAAGTTCATAATAGATTCTGGTTAATCATTGCACTATCTTTCCTAAACCTGCCTGGTCATGACCGAGAGCATGTCCTGTGCGATCGCAGCCCCCCATTTCACGGTTTCCTTCTCCTTCTCGTCCGTGAGAACCGACACCTTCTTCATGTGCTTCTTCAAGAAGAACTCCAGACCCTGAGCGAACGTCAAGTTCTCCTTGCACTTGACAAAAATATCCATCACTGCTTGTGGTTTCCTCCTCGGCGCACCACGCTGGGTATGCAGGATCAACGTGCAGAAGAATATCTGCAAGAAGATCTTGGTGTTGCTCTGCAATTCAACGAAGTTCAGCGTCTTCAAGATGGAAATACCAATGGCCTTCTCAGCAACGATCTGACCGTACAGCTTAGCAAGGTTGACAACCTTCCTCAAGGGCACGTCCTCCACCTGCTCAAAGTCATCCGCATCCTCCGCACCCATATCCTGCTCTCCCATGCTCCTGAAGAAATCCCACAGGCAGAACTGGAATGTCATCTTGATCCCATGGTGCTGAGCACAGAGGCGTGCTGCGATGAATGTGTAGTACGGGTTGTACGCCTTCTCGTTTCCCGCGCAGTGCAACAGCACACGCGGGATCTCACGCTCTTGTACCTTCTTCAGGGCGAGCTTCATGAGCTTGTCGCAAGCATCCACGTAATCCTCGGCCGACATCAGCGTGATGAAAATAGCACGACGAATGTCAGTGTTCATTCTTTGCTCTCTTGCCAGTTTCAATAACTCTGCAGTGGCTTGCTGACCCTCGTCCACGTCTTTGACAGCGTTCACAGCCACGTTCTTATTCAATTTTCCTCCTGCCGTTCCATCGTCCTTCCATGAAGCACCGACAAGCCACCATTTTCCCTTCGTCTCAACGTCGTGAATATCCTCAAGCGTAACACGCAAAGGATCAACGGACTTGGCAGTCTTGTAGGTAACCAGTCCTCCCAAGAACTTCTTCATACGTGACGTAGCTTCTGCAGTAAGCTGTGATGTCGCATTTGCAGTCTTCAATTTATTGTTTTTCAAGTTCGTGATGGTCTCAATCATGAACTTGGTACGCGTGTTAATCTTGTCCTTGTCCATCTTGTTGATGGAGGACTGCATCATCAAGACAATGTCCTTCAAGGCCGTGGGATCGTCCGATCTCAACTGCTGACCTGAATTCCTGACGATCTTGAGCAACAACTCGGTGTTGAGCTCATTCAAGTCACCGAGGAAAACACGGATGAAGTCGTAAATGAGCGTGCAACCCACCACTTGCAAGTTATACAACTCCGTCAACAAAACGATGAGGTTAGTACAAGCCTTACCACCTTGTCCACCACTCGGGTTACCGTCCGTGCTGACCGTCTGCATGGCCGTGGCATGGTGCTTGTCATACATCTCGACCAAGGTCTGTACGAAGAACGCACCAAACTCAATACCCTGCACGCGGTACAACGCAGCGATGAAACCAGCATGAAGAATGACGAAGGTATCGAGTAGGGTATCACGCGAAGTGATGATGGCCAGTATGAGGTCGGTGATGCTCTGGTTGACGTCGTGACGGGGATGAGCTGTGTATAAAGCCTGGAATTCGTTGATGATGGAACCCATATTGGCTTCGGATAACTTGTTAAAGTGACCGTTGACTACGCGGCGCAGCCGGGTGAGTTCTTCGGTTTTTGCGTCAGATTGTTGTCCCATTAATCTTCGCTGTGAAGGAGGGATGTACTTGGCTGGAGCAGCCGCTGGGGCAAGTGCGGGATTGTCGATGGCTGGCTTTGTTGGATCTGGGCGGGTGCGTTTTGTCTCGACCAATTGTGGCACTTCCTCATCGTCCTCCTCTCCGAAGCCAAGGAAAGATTCAGCGTCACTGTCGTCGCCTTCGTCGTCCTCGCCACCCTCCTCCTCCTCACCTCCGAGATCATCAAATTCTTCCAGCCCATCCAGCTCGTCCTCGTCTCCCGATTCTTCTTCATCGTCATCCTCCTCGTCAAAGTCCTCTTCTTCCTCCTCCTCCTCCTCCTCGGGCGCAGACGCAGGCTCATCCCTCTTCCGCTTCATGCCCCGGTTCGCGGTTGTAATACCCTCCAAAAGCATATCGAAATCCTCCTCGCCGATCCTATCACTGGACTTTTTCCTCAAGAGTTTTTCGAAGTATGCAATCTCCTCATCGTTCTCCTCCAACGCACGTTCAAGTGGAGTCTTCGGCGGCGCGACCTCCCTGGTCTTTTTTGGCTTCTGCTTCTTCGGTGCCGGAGCCTCGACGGGTGCTGTTACCGGCTTCTTCAGGATGGACTTCAACGGCGGCACATTGGTCAACTTTGAGCTCGCGGCGGCGGTGGAGGCCTTCGGTGGCGGTCGCCTCGGACCCTTTGCGTTTAAACGATCCTGCTTTCTCTGTTCCTTCCTTGAAGCATACGCGACGGCAGTCTTCTTCTGCTTCTTGTACGTGGTGGTTTCGCCATCACCCAGGGCAGCCAGCTCCTCACGCAAAGCCTTTGGCAATGCCGTCGTATTCTTCGTCTGATACTTCGACATTTCCTCCGAGGGCGTTCGTTGCCCGTCGAGTTCAAAAGTTCCCAGGATCAAATATTTGGCCAGGTACAGGTACAGGTACAGACAGGTACAATTACAGGTACAATTACAGGTCCACCAGATACATCCAAGCATGGCGCTCCTATCAAACAATGAAGTGAGTCACGCTCGCCTTGAGGGCCGCGGGCGATCCTGCTAACGCTTCTCCGCCAGTTCTTAGCCAGCCTGGGTTCATTGCTTACGGCCAAGAAGGTGCACGGTTCTGTATTCCTGACCCAGAAGAGATGTATGTTCACATCCTCCGCGGCGTTGGTTGGGCTAAGCTCACATGGAACCAGATTCATATGATCCATCGGCTGAGGAAGACTCCCTCGATGACCTGTCAACAGACAAGAACTTCCCTATTCTGATTCGCGCAACAGACGGCAAGTCGTCAAAGGAGGATACCAAGGTCAAGTTCTCAACACTGGTAAACTTGACGGATCTTGACTCATTCTTCACAAGATATGGGGACATCTGTAGGGCTGGGATGACTACCTTGAAGAAGAGAGATAGGAAGAAGACCAAGACCAAGGCGAAGAAGAAGCCAACGAAGGCGGCCGCATAGTGGAACTGTTGCCAAAAAAAATATACCCGAGCATTTTGAGGCTCTACGTGTCCTATTCCTACGGCTTTCTAGCGCTGTTCGTATATCCTGAGCAATGATGGTATGTGTGTGCACGTGTAGACGACCGACTTGCATGGGACCGCAGCAGCTGCAACCCCGGCGCGTCGGCTTGGACCGCAGCAGGACGCGATTCAACCGCGACGACTGAAGAGGACCCCGCGACAAGTCAATTGCTCCTGCCAACAATGTCCGTTCCTTTGACCCAGCAGAAAGTTGCCGCCATGCAAGTGGTCCTGACGGCTTTGTACAACGCGACAGACCCTGAGTATGCTTTCACGATATTCCCTTGATGAATGGATGCTTACAGGGTATACAGAGGCCGTCCAATCTCCGAGATATTTCAGGACATGCCAGATAGGGATGAGGTGCCGGATTACTACGATGTCATTAAGAGGCCCATGGCTCTGAACGTGATTAGGGTACGCTTGACCACCCGGATTTTCGCACTGTATGCTAACATACACGAATGAAGGACAATATTCAAGCCGCTCGCTACACTGATCTCAACGACTTTGTTCGCGATTGTGCCCAAATCTTCCACAATGCCAAGACATACAACCGGTCCGATAGTGTCATTTACGAGGATGCATCTCTGCTGGAGATCTTTTTGGTGCAAAAGTTGACTGAGATGAAGGAGAGGGGGGCATTTCCGGAGGTGCAGGTTCCAGCACTCGGCCCGCTACCACCACCATCGACAGGAGGTGACACCGATGAGGACGCATCGGACGCTGACCCCAGTGACGACGACGATGAAGACCTTGATCTGGATGATGAAGGTGCACCTAGGAAGAAGAGGAAGACGTCTGCGAAGATCGGTCGTCCCCGCAAGGTTGTCACGGACGAGGAGGGTAACCCGATCGAGAGGCCCGACATGGCTGATCTGAAGAGGAAAAGGGGTAGGCCGCCGAAGGTGGATACACCTAATGATGCACGGATCAAGAACATCCTGAAAGGTCTGCGCAGGGAGAAGATCATGGGTAGACAGATCTTCGCTCCGTTCGAGAAGCTGCCGGATCCCAAGATGTTTCCCGACTATTACGAGGCAATTAAGAACCCCATCGCAACAGAGGGCATCAAGAGAAAGGCGAAGGCAAAGGCGTACAAGGACTTGTCGTCGTTCTTGGAGGACATGGATTTGATGTTCAACAACGCGAAGCGGTACAATATGCCTGGTAGTGAGCTGTTCAACGATGCTTGCTATCTTCAGGAAGTCGCGCATCGTCTGGCGCAACAAGAGATATCAAGGGATGATACTGAGCTCGTTCTCGAGAACGCAATGGCTGCGACCCCCGCAAGAAGTTCCAAACTTCAGCGTATCCCACTGGACAAGATTTACTACAAGGATGACGTTTTTCAAGTCGGTGATTGGGTTCACTTGAAGAATCCCAACGATGCCGAGAAGCCCATTCCTGCACAAATCTTCAGGACCTGGCAATCGCCCGACGGATCGCAGTGGATCAACGTTTGTTGGTACTATCGTCCCGAGCAAACCATCCACCGCGCAGACCGCACTTTCTACGAAAATGAAGTCTTCAAAACCGGACAGTACCGCGATCATGACATCAACGACGTGATCGAGCGTATCTTCATCATGTTCGTCACGAAGTACGTTCGTGGACGTCCAAGGGACATCGGTGATGTCAAAATCTACGTCTGCGAATCCCGTTACAACGAGGAGAACCAGGAGGCGAACAAGATCAAGAGTTGGAAGTCTTGTGTACCAGACGAAGTCCGTGGCAAGGAATACGACATGTACCACTTCGACAGGGTACGTGTGCTGACGAAGGTGCCGAGTCCTTTGCTGCATTGGCTGCCACCGGATGCGAAAGAGGGTGATCCGCCCACGGAGTTAATTCGTGGATCGGAAGACGGGCCGCCGATCCGAGGAAGCATCATCCCATGCCCTCCACCGGACCCGTCGCAGTTGGTCAAGCAAACTGAACCGACGCCGCCTCCCCCTGATACCTCGGCACCTCCGCCGGTGACATCTAGTCATATTACAACGCTGCCTCCAAAGGTAACGACATTCCAGCCGCCGGAGCCCCAGTTCACTATGCCACAACTGCCTCCACGCCTTCCCCCACCACCTCCGCCTGTGTACGCGCAACCACCGGTGCCTCCTGTGGCCTTTACCATGCCCCCACCACCGGTCATGCCAGATGGTGTAGCAAGGGTGAATGCATTGCCCGATGCGACGGTGGAGACTGTGCAGCGGGACCCATTGGGTCGTGTACTTTGGTTCCCTGTGCCTCCGAATGATAATGTCAAGCCGGTGTTGGAGACCGGCGTTAAGGGACATAGTTTGGCGTATCTGGCTAAGAGGAGGGATATTATGAAGGCTAAGAAAGAAAAGCTCGCCAAGGCACGTCAAGGTGCCGCACTGACTAAGACTGCAAAGTCGGACGTGGATCAGGACCAGAGCATCAGCAAAGAATATCAAGAGGCAGCAAGGGAGCTTCTGGCGCAAGGGTTGGTTCAGGTCACGAAGCACATTACAGCTTGAAATTAATGACACATGTTGTACCGTCCTTAGTTGTTGAACTAGCAATAAAGGGTCATTATGCTCTATATCTTGAACCCAATCATGCATTCTTCCAACTTAGATCTTAAACAACTCCTTCAAAATCTTCGCAGTATCAGCAGGGCTCTCCACAGTGTGGCCGATAGTTCTGTCATCCTCGTAAATCTCGTAGTCGTTTCCTCCCTTGTAGGTCTTGTCTCCGAAGAAGTGGATCTCCTTGAAGCCCGCGTCCTGCACGTGCTGCAAGCAGTAAGTCTTATCCCAGCCAGCGGGGAAGACATCGAAAGAAATCTGACCTCCGATGGAGTAGGTGAGGCCGTAATCGGCGAAGCGCTCCTTTAGCTTCTCAACGAACTTGGCACGGACCTGAGTCTCCTTGTCGAACTTCTCGAAGTCGTTACGCTCCTGAGTGGAGGCGTTACGGCCAATGGGGGAGACGTTGATCATTCCGTTACGGAACTCGACGAAGGTACCGCGCTTGATGGGAATGTCCATGTCGGCGACGTAGTGGAGGATGAAGTTGACGAGGTCTTTGTACTTGCCCTCACCAAGCCAGTTGATGAAGGACTGGGAAGCGAGCTGCTTGCTCATATGGTATGCGGTAAGACCATTCTCGGCGAAGGCGTAGTCAAACATGTCAACGACTGCAGCTCTTGTCAGTAATCATCTCAGAATGTGCTCGTAAGTGAATGAATGACATACCGTTCACGTCTGCCGCTCCCAATTGCTCCTGCTGCTTCGGGAGATCACTTCCTCCGACGAAACCAATGACGACCTTCTTACGGAGGTCCTGGAGAAGCTGAAGCGTCTCTGGGGTAGCGTCTTGACGCGCCGGGGTCAAGGTGCCGTCGACATCGAAAAGAACGAGGATGTCCTTGTTGGGACGCTCCTCAATGGGGACGACGGAAGAAAGAGCCATCTATAGATCGCGTTAGGACTTCGTTATAGGAAGCTCGTCCACTGTTATCTACCTACCTTTGAAGGTGCGATATTTACGAAATGTCGACGTGTTCCCAGGCCCAGTTCAGGGGCCAAAGCTGCATACATACACCGGGAATACACCTGCCAAGAACACGGAAACCTGAACTGGAAGCCGCATATAGTCCTGTCATATGGCAGCCAATGTGAATGTAAGAGGCCAAACGACGCGATTCTACTCCATCTCAATGTACTTGGATGACTGCCGTACACCGCCGACATGCGGATTCTGCAGGGCTGCAGAGGCAATGCTGAACGCGTTCCTTGCGAGCGTCGGCATCCAAATACGCAGCTGCAACTGACCGATTCCAGTACTCCACAATGTCTGCCGTTCAGGTGTGTGGACCGTATATATGCTGTCATTGATATGTGCTGATCTGTTTCCGCCAGCTCGTTAACCCCAAGGCCGAGTCCATCCGCCGTGACCAGGCTCTCCAGGTCAACATCACCGCGGCCATGGGCTTGCAGGATGTCCTGAAGAGCAACCTTGGTCCTAAGGGAACAATCAAGATGTAAGGCGCGTTCGGTGTTTTCAAGAGCTTTAACTAATATGTGACGCAGGTTGGTTTCTGGTGCTGGTGACATTAAGCTTACGAAGGATGGAAAGGTGCTCTTGACAGAGATGCAGATTCAGAACCCTACTGCCGCCATGATTGCACGAGCAGCAACTGCGCAAGACGAGATTACCGGTGACGGAACGACCTCCGTGTGTTTGTTGGTCGGAGAATTGATGAAGCAGGCTCAGAGATACGTCGGAGAGGGTCTTCACCCAAGGCTCATCACCGAGGGCTTCGAGTTGGCGAAGAAGGAGGCATTGAAGTTTTTGGATGGATTCAAGATGCAGCAGACCGTTGACCGTGAATTGCTCATGGCTGTTGCGCGTACGTCGCTTTCCACTAAACTTCACGCCGCTGTCGCTACTACCCTCACCCCTACCATCGTTGATGCCGTCCTTGCCATCAAGCGCGACGATGAGCCCATTGACCTCCACATGGTTGAGATCATGCACATGCAGCACAGAACAGCTACCGAGACTCAGCTCGTCCGTGGTCTTCTCCTCGACCACGGTGCTCGCCACCCCGACATGCCCAGAAGAGTCGAGAACGCCTTCATCCTTACCCTTAACGTCTCCCTCGAGTATGAAAAGTCCGAAGTCAACTCCGGTTTCTTCTACAGCAGTGCCGATCAGCGTGAGAAGCTCGTTGAGAGTGAGAGGCGTTTCGTCGACGACAAGCTTCGCAAGATCGTGGAGTTGAAGAAGGAGGTCTGCGGTAACGACCCCAAGAAGGGCTTCGTTATTATCAATCAGAAGGGTATCGACCCCTTGTCCTTGGATGTTTTGGTAAAGAACGGTATCTTCGCTCTCCGACGAGCAAAGAGAAGAAACATGGAGAGGTTGCAGCTTGTATGTGGCGGTATCGCGCAGAACTCTGTTGACGACCTTACCCCTGATGTGCTCGGATACGCCGGTCTCGTTTACGAGCACACTCTTGGCGAGGAGAAGTACACTTTCGTGGAGGAGGTCAAGGATCCTAAGTCCGTCACTGTCTTGATCAAGGGTCCTAACGCATACACCATCGCTCAAGTTAAGGATGCTGTTCGTGATGGTCTTCGTGCCGTTAAGAACGCCATTGAGGATGCTGCTGTTATTCCTGGTGCTGGTGCCTTCCAGGTTGCATGCGCAACCTACCTTTCCAATGAATACAAGAGGACAGTGAAGGGTAAGGCCAAGTTCGGCGTTCAGGCATTCGCGGATGCTCTCTTGGTCATCCCTAAGACTTTGGCAGCAAACGCTGGTTTCGACATCCAGGACGCCGTGGTGGCGCTCCAGGATGAGGCTCAGGATGGACATATTGTCGGTTTGGATTTGAGAACAGGAGAGCCTATGGACCCCGTGGTTGAGGGTGTCTGGGACAGTTTGAGGTCGACGAAATACATGATGATTTCGAGTGCGGATTTGGCGTCTTCATTACTGCTCACGGATGAGTTGCTACGTGCGGGTATCTCAAATGCTAAGCGCGGACCGGGAGGACCTTAAATGGGTGGTACAGGATGTGAGAATGCGATGTCGTAGGATATAGATTTTGGCTACAAAAGGGAATGTAAATTAAAGGGTTGTTCGCAACATGCTCATCACCGCGGAGACTGGGCGCTTCAGATATATCGAATATGGAATTACTTTGGATTCTATCATACAACGATACACTCATTATGGTGTGCACGTTCCTTTTGGTATATCTCCCTCCGTTTAGTCCACAACGTGAACCTCACCCTTCCTAAACTTGCCAAGCTCACTCGCGTCCATCGGCTGGTCGAAGTAAAGGTTCGACCTGTAAGATCTCAGATATGTCAAACTCGTGTGCTCGAACTCCGCCGGCGTAATGCCCAAATCCGCGAACGTCTTCGCTCCCTGAGTAGGGGTGTCGTTGATGAACTCCCTCGCGACCTGGTCAGGTGAGTAGATTGGCCACCAGGCAAGCTCCAACACCTTGCAAATCTGCTTCATGATGGGCGAGGGGATGTTGTAGTTCCTGTGCTTCTTCAAGGTAACCCGGCGGACCATCTCGGCAACCTCAGCCACGGAAAGCTCCTCCTTGCCGTAAAGCTCGAACGTCTGAGCGGCGGTCCAGTCATTGTGCATCATGTACTCCAAAGCCTCAGCGACGTCGGCAACGTGAGTTGGGCGGACGATCGCCTTCTGCGAATTGGAGCTGAAGTGCGTGGTCTTGGAAGCGAGGACGTTAAGGAAGCGGTCTTCAGCACCGTACATTGTTGAGGGACGAACAATAGTGGCTTCAGGGAAGACACCCCTGACGATATTCTCAGCTTGCGCCTAACCGAAGGTTAGTAAGATAGTTTGACTAAAACGCAGTCTTGCAAACCTTAGTTCTGTAGAACTCGGAGGGGGAGTGCTCGTCAGCGTTCAAAGCGGAGACGTGAACCAAGCGGTCGACGTCGTACTTGGCGCAGGACTCAGCAATTCTGGCAGCTCCGTCGATGTGGACATCGTGGAACTTAAAGTTCTTGGTTTCCCAGTCGCGGCCAATCAAATTGTATACGATGTCGGAATGACGGACAGCGGACTCAATGGATTCCGTGTTGCGCAAGTCGAATTCCTGCATATTGATCGTAAATAAAGAGAGCCTGCTTGTTCCAAATGATACAACATACGTGCATGACAACCTGACCCAAGTCTCCGGAGACCTTCAAGTGACGCTTGGCATCCTCATCACGCCATGGGATAACGACGGTGGTACCCTGCTTGGCGAGCTTGGAAACAATGTAACGGCCGAGGAATCCAGTAGCGCCGAAGACGGTAGCGGTGTGACCGGAAAGGGAGGAACGACCACCACCACCCTGGCGGATGATCGGCTTGCCCGTTCGCGAAATCATGATATCGTGAACATTGCGCTTAGCGGAGGCCACCGGGGTCTTGACCGCTGATCTTGAGCCGAGACGCAATGGAGCGGCGAGCATTGCTGGTTGTATGTTGAGCTTTGGAGGTTACCTCTGTATCGATTCGCTGAGGTCCCGCCATGTGGAGAGCTGCAGGTGGTGCTGACAGTCACGGGTGGGGTGCTTTTGAAGTCACTGGAGTTCTGGAGGGGTTTAGAGTTCTTTCATTCTTGTCGCAAAGATTTTATATGGTTTTTTTTGCATCCTTGTCGAATATTTGAAGTGACGTACACGCGTACCTCCGACGCTGCCTGTCTACGTAACGCAATACACTGCTCGAGCTCCTCGAGAAATATACCAATTGAACCCTTCAACCACAATGGATATCGATTTTGACGCTTCTGCATTCCTTGAGCAACAGCGTGATGCCGCTCCCGCAGAATTGCAGCCTGTTTTCTTCCAGCTTGAGGACCTTTACGACAGAAAGTTGTGGCATCAGGTGCGCCGCCTTCCATTCCTTCGCTTAGCATGTCTGCTAATTCTGATGTAGCTTACCGATGCCCTCATCATCCTGTTCAATAACCCCCAAAGCGCTCCTTTGAGGATGCCTCTGTTCAGGGAGTTTGTTGGTTCATTCCAGGGCAAGATCAACCAGCTCAAGCTGGTATCACTCGGATTGTCCGCAGCGAGTCAATGTCAAGGTACGTGTACTTTGGTAATATATGCTTGGGCACATCTAACATAATTCGCAGAATATAGCGAGGCGCTTCAATTCCTCTCCGACATCACGGAGAAGGTCGACACACCGTCAACCCAAGATGCCTTCGTATATGCCACAGTGGAGACCGCACGTATGAAGCTCCTTCTCGGACAATTGGATGAGTCAAGAGAGTCCATGGACAAGGCCGGAAAGATCCTCGACAGCTTTGATTCCGTGGAGAACATGATCCACGCGGCATACTACCGTGTGAATGCGGACTACTACAAGGCCAAGGCAGAATACGCCGCCTACTACAAGAATGCTCTGCTGTTTCTTGCGTGCGTCAATGTTGAGAAGGATCTTACTATTGCTGAAGCCCAAGAACGCGCATACGACCTCTCTATCTCTGCACTTCTCGGCGAGACAATCTACAACTTTGGAGAGCTTCTCCTCCACCACGTCCTTAACTCTCTTAACGGAACGGAGCACGAGTGGCTGAAGGAGGTCTTGTTTGCGTTGAATAGTGGAGATATTGCGAGATTCGAGGGTCTTCAGGGACATCTTGCGAAGCAACCACTATTGCAGGCATCACTACCCTTCCTCAGACAGAAGATCTGTCTGACGGCGCTCATCGAGGCTGTCTTCAAGCGTCCTCCTCATGACCGTGCTTTGGCGTTCTCTACCATTGCCGCGGAGACACGGCTGGTGCATGATGAGGTTGAGCACCTCGTCATGAAAGCCCTCAGCTTGAACCTTCTAAAGGGTAACATTGACCAGGTCGATCAGGTGGTGCGTGTTACTTGGGTGCAGCCTCGGGTGTTGGATATGAACCAGGTAGAGGGTATGAGGCAAAGGTTGGTGGACTGGGCAAGCCAGGTGAAGACTCTGGAGGGATTCGTTCACAAGACCGGAGAGGATTTGGAGGTTTGGGTTCAGTAAGATGTACGCGATGGAAAGTATGTAGGTTGAGGCTTTATTGCATGAGAAAGTTGCGTTGATCGCATCACAGTTATACCTATACCAAAGAGAACCTTGACATATAACTCAACTGTCTGAATCATCCATATTTCTAGTGTTTCGTTGATGCACGCCAGCATGCAAGCAAAGAATCATTCCGGGATACTGTCCTTCATGGAACCGTAGTCAGCATTCGCAACACCCGCCAAGATCTTCTCACCGAGTTGGGACAACTCCGGCTTGCCATCACCGACAGGCATCTTGAACAGCTTGACCTCGTGCTCAGTCCCTTCCTCTAGTCTTTTCTTTGCCTTTGCTCTCTGCCGTTCTTCAATATCTACTTTAAGCTTCGTCGCCTTTGAGAATTGTGATGACTTGATGCTCTTGGTGACGCCTTCCCACACGCGGTGACTCTCATTGGGATGAAGCTCGTGGCTCTCGGGCACCTTCTTAGGGAAGACGTCGAACAACTCTAAGTCCACCAGCAAACGCCGCACTCCATCCTTGGGCGTGTAGAAAACCTCTCCCTTCCATGATCCCTCAATTGTTCCAATGAGTGCTGATGATGGTACGTCCTTGAAATCAGTGATGTTGTCGTTGGCTGGATCGTAGGTGAAGATTGCGCCTTTGACGAGGGCTTTCTGCTTCCCTAGCCAAGACTCTTCGAGATATTGGACGATCGCCTTTGTTTTGGTCTTCGGACAGGTGGCGACAGATGCATCATGAATGTTAATCGTTGGACTTCCCTGTACGGTTCTGTGAGCAAATGGTCAAGCATGAAATGCGAAACACCTTTAACTTACCATCAAAAACCCGGAAACACTTGCACTTGTATGCGTGACAAGATATTCCTCATCACCTCTCTGCTTCAACGTAATCCAGACACCGCGGTTCTGCTCTCCTGGGAAGACCTTGATACTTGTTCCAGTGAACTTTGCCGAAACCTGATCCAGGCCCCTCATAACGATTCCCTTCTCCGCACAAGATGCATAGTACGCTGATACTGGCGGGTGGTGCGAAACTTGCTCAGTAACGTACGCGACACGGCAGACCTTGCGCTCAGAGTGAGGAACGTAATCAACCTTGGGCACCGTCAGGGTAGGGCCCGAGGTAGGCTGAGGAGTATTCCGTCTCGACAGGAATCCCGCACGTTTCCATGATCCACCACCGGATGTAATCGTACTTGCAGATTTTGCCGATTTGATAGATGAAGCCGAAGATTGAGGAGGGTCGTCGGGAATATGGGGATCAGTGTTCGCAGGGAGCATCGTTCCATCTGGGTTGAACGCTGGCTCCCGTACATCCCAATGGGCTCTGAAAAACTCGCCGAGAATGCAGTTGTATGGTTTGCAAGGTTTCCCTTTCTGTATGAGCTTGTCAGCGAAGATAGTCGTACATCCATCTTTAACTGCCTCGTACCACAACTTTGAGATCCTTCGTAAACCACCATCTGAGTACAGCCAGCATCCTATCCACGGGCTCTTCCGGATCGGTGATGCATATAAGTGCATCAGGTCTATCGACGTAGTGCCAATAATCCAAATTCGGGATCGGCTCGAGGAACTGTGCTGGAAGAGAGAAGCGGACGGAGGCAAGGTCCTTGATACCGATGACTATAGCTCTGTTAGTTCAGCTCGAAAAACTAAAGCATATACTCATACATCGTCTCAAGATACTGAGAAGTCCCTTGAACTTGCCCTCTTTAGTCTCCGCCTCATCCTCGTTTTCGCCGTCCTGGAGGGCCATCTCCTTGGCAGCTGCTGACAACTCGTCCACAGCAGATCCTTCTCCAGCTATAGCCAAAGCAAGATGTTCTTGCACTTCCTCGCTTGGGGTGTTCATGCCGGAGGGAAGCGGACTTGTGTCGTTGTTGGAGCTCGTACGAAGTGTGTTGACACGAGGCGTGAGATTACCGGACATCTTGCTCAGAGTCCGGTCTTTCAAGACGTCTGAACTAAAGCTATATCTGATGGAGGAGAGCGACGGCAGGATCGTCCCTGATGACAGCGGGAGCTTGTTGAGGTAATTTTATGGGGGAGCTCGAGTGTACTGCAGCTGGGTCGAGGTGGACGGTAGAGGTACGAGGGCTTATCACGCTACCTGCTACTAACGGAGAGCGCGTCACTGGGGTGAAGCGACCGCCGCTAAGTAGGAGCTTAAATATTTTGAAGTCTGACAGTTTGTTAGATGAATATGGAAGTCTTTTCTGCCTTTTCCTGAGAAATACTAATGCGGCTGTGCGCTTGTTGGGCGGGCTCCCGGCCGAGCTGTACCCGATGACCCCACAGTGCCCATTCCCAAGAATGCCGCGGCTCAAATTCACTTCCACGATACTCAGCCGCTCCCCTTTCATCCCATGTTGACCGACCGCACCTCCTTTCAGATGCTCCTATCGTACATAAACCCGGACTGTTTCACCGCAGGACAAAGGGAAGGTCGCTGTGCTTCCTCAAACCCAAACACTCTCACGAGCCTGGCTTCTCTTGGGCAGGCTTCAAGTTCACCTTATCCTCCTCACTCAAAGAAAAAGATTCCCCCTTCTTTTGCTGTTCCCACCGCTGACTGCCAGAGAAACACTATATCACGAGTCAGCATCGGTTCATCCCATATATGTTGCAGACACTTACATGTCTAGTTTCTCTCCATCTCTTCCCAAATTGTAGTCAGCAAACATGACGCAAAATACAGCCAAAACTTGAAAGTCACAAAAGCTTCTAATATGACTTGATTGACCACTGTGTTTCTTACCTCCAGTGATACTGTGCGTTGCGAGCTGTAGACGTCTCATGCTCAGATTCTGAGGACAGACCTTCAGGACCCTTCTCATGTACCTCTCTTGTGCGGGCCTCCGTGTCCCTGGTGCTGACATTGTGACTGTTGATTCCTGTTATCTGATCTGAGTATTGTCTTCGACGTACAGGAGCCGTACTGTATGTGACCAAATCGGGAAGCAAGCCACAATTAGCACAGTCTACGTTACAAGTTGTGGCACAGAAGCCATATACTTCTGGTCGGGGAATCCGGGAGGACTTTCTTGCGGCACGGTAAGCTCACGACTAGAGAAACGAGAAGAAAAAGTACAATTCAACAACAGCAATTACTGCTCAAACAAAGAAGTCGTCAAACCTAAAGATCACAATAACGGATATCCTAAGTTTTAACGAGAGTGCCTCGATCCCAAAAAACGCCACAAATACCCAAATGAATGTGCCGTATGTGAAAACCCTCAAAAGCGAACACCATTCCAAGAACCCATTGCGCCTTAAGAATCAGGCGGAGAAGTCAATCCACCTGCGCTAATCGTCTCCGCTGTCCCAGACCCAGTACCATCAATCTCCTGAAGTTGCCTCAAAAAATGGGAACAATCAAATCCGCGATCCTTCAACACTCGAACCAATCTTACAATCTCATCAATCACCTTCTCATTCGGCACTTGCTCCATGCCACCACTGCCGACGTCCAGCTGCTGAATCTGCTGAGCGAACCTCGCTGCCGTAGGCGAGAAAGGTGCGGGAGACGGCCCAGCACTAGGCCCAAGGGGAACCTCCGCACGAGAGGAAGGCACGACGATCGCCTGAACGATGCCAAACTGACTAGCAACGGGATCATTCCACATGGTTGCCTCTGCAATAGATGCTTGTCTCTTCAGCGGCGACTCGGATTTTACCATAATCTCAGGCACCGAGCCGCGAGATCCAAGAGAATGGTGGCTCAACGCCGGACTCGCAACAGAGGTGCCGGATGTGGTGATGGAAGCAAAACTTAAGTTGCGCGGCGCATCTCGCGGCCTCATGGGTTCGCCAACATGGTCCACATCCATCTCACCAGCGTGCTTGTCAACGTGTACGGGGAACATGTCCGGGTCATCCTCCGGGTCGCCACGAAGGTACAAGAGACTAATCGGCTTCTGGCTCGAAAACATTGCCTCCAGCTCCATGGCCTTGTCAAGCCTCTTCGCCACAGCCTCTTCGCTGTCTCCCTCCATTTTAACCTCATCCTCGAACATGGAAGCTTGAGTACACCTGCTCCAGTCACGCTTGTGACCAGACTTTCTGCCAGCCTTGTGCGCAGTATCATCCTCCCCGGTCGCGACGGAGAAAGAATGGGACCTCCCGTGTCCCTTCTTCTTTCCCTTCTCGACGGCAGCACTGACAGGCCTGACCTTCTCCCTCAACTTGGCGATTACCTTCTCAATATGCCGCGTATCATTCACCAACTTACGCTCCGCACCCTTGTCGCGGAACAACTTGACCTTGCAGAACACCACCTCACAGGTGGGCATACCAGGCGGGATCGGCAGGGCATGATCAGCGAGAACCTCAGTCTTGACACAGAAGCGAACGGTGCACCCCTTGACACCTTTCGAATGGGAGAAGTCGGTCGACAGGAAGTTAAACTTCACATCAACATCAATCTGCTGCTCCGGCCTCGAAGTACTCCATCGAAAGGCGAAGCCATCGAAATTCACCGAGTCCTCCTCCAATTCAAAGCCGATCGTCCTCCCACCCTTACCATGCTTTGGCAAAAGACCTTCACAAATGACCGCCTTCATTTTCTCGGCTTCCTTGTCGTTGTCACCACCTCGGCCGTCCCGCCACACTCGCCAAGCGTAGGCAGCACGCTTGCGCTGCGCAGGTTCATCGAAAGAGATTCTCGCATAGCTTCGGTAGGTCAAGATCCGGCCTGACACTGGCGTAGTGTCACGAATGGAGAACGTGTAGATGTGACCCTTGTTCAGGTACGTGACTGGGATCTCGTCGGGGTGCTTTGTCATACTCGTCGAAGCCCTCAATATCGTCTCGAACCTGAACGATTCTCTCCTCCCCATATAAATGCCACCATCACCAAATGCCTCCGTCGGGAACACTCCAGGCAGAGACCTGAGCGGTGATACTTCCTCAACTGGAGCAGGGATGTGCTGAAACGCACTGGGCGACATGCATCCACTCCCGCCGGAATGATCCGCCTCTGGTGAACTCATGGCCGTTTCTTCCGGACTTCGCTTCAATAACATCTGTGGATGTGTGAAAATGCTCTCCTGCTGCGGTCGGTCCATGGAAGGGTACTGGTGCTGGAATTGGGACTGCGGAGAGGGCTGGTTGTGGTGGTAGCCAGCGGTAGGCAAGACACTCTGCGGCGAGCGAATAGCAAACATGGGACCAGGATCTGCCCTGTGTTGAGCAGAGTAGTGCTGTTGTGTCTGCTGAGGCATGTAGCTTCCATAATGAGATCCAGTCGAATATGGGTTCACGTGTGAACCACTCCCAGGCGTCAGAAACGACATCGACGACAAACTCGAGAAGTTCTGAGGCTGGTGTTCAAACAACGTCGATTCCAGTCCGAAACTATGTTGATCTGTTGACTGATGGAGTGTAGCACGCGGGGTTGTGTCCATATCGTGTCCCTCAAGAGACCTACTCGTACGCGTCATGAGTCAGGACGGATCGACGGCACGTGAGAAAATGGTGTAACATACCTGGTTTGATTCAGGACGGAGTTCTGCAGAGCATATACTGGCTGGAAAGGTTCTCCAAGATTTCCTTGAGCGTTTCCAGTACCGTTGTGCATGTTGTCGAGGCGTAGACCGGGGAATGTCCTCCTAAAATCCTCCATAAGTTCCGGTGCAAGACCGGACCGGGTGCTACAAGCAGTCAGCATCGATGACAGATATAATAGACGGGATGTATGCTTACCGCCGGTGAAGCCCGCGGCTTTCGGGTACTGCGAGATACTGGTTGTCTGGATCCAGAACTGCAAACAATGGTAGACGAGAGTCGGTGACCGGGTATTGCGAGTGCTTTTTCGAGTGGATACAAGATGCAATTGCTCTCTCGAAGCAAGAAAACTCGTGGTGCTGGGAGATGTATGCTGCCTCGACACTTCAAGGGAGGCCGGAGTGGTGTGGGCTTTATTTGAAACGTACGGCCGGCATGACTGTGAGGCCTAAGGGAGCGCAGCTGGGGTCCGGTCACCTGCTGGGCCACCACTAGACTGTACGACACATGTGCGTCTGCCACCTTTGCCACAGCGCCACACACGCCTAGTGGCTCACTTCATTTCCGCGCATATTGGCCAGCTGAGGACAAGAGAAGACACCCGTGTAGGACGGAGCGGCCGAGAGCGAACGCCATTGGTTCACTTGAAAGCTCTTGGAAAGGATAAAAGTCTGGGCATTGGATACACGACGACATGACCTTGAAGTCTCGGGACATTTCATCCACCCGTGCTGCAGCGGCTCCCTTCCCACAGCTGGTAGTGGATCGGTTCCGATCGAGCGGTTGTGGCAAGTAGCTATTGAGGACCTAGGCCTTGCAAAAGAACCCTCCGCGTACAAATTATGTTGCTGCGCAAAACCGGTACCGCGATGATCTATCTCACGAGTACCACTCCCTTCCACTCCCCAAAATTATCCCGCTATGCTGCGATTTTCGATGCGATGGACACGTGTCAGTAGGTAGCTCACTGCTTGTTACTATTCTTGTGACATCTGCTCACATACGGCGAGCAAGCGCATCCGCGGAAATTTGGGCGTACCAATGCTTATATTACTGCGTAAATCTCCGCGACCCGGGGCCATCTTTGTTTGCTCTCCTGTCGTCCGTCATGGAGCAATCGCTATTCCTGTCCTTCTAGATCCTTCGAACTGAACGCTCAATTGCACTTTCACATGTAATTGAGGCCGAGTCAGCTGGCTGAAAGAACCCAGAAGTCCTCATTCTTGGCCACATCCAATTTCCAGTTAAATTACCCAGGTGTTGATCGTTCCCGACTAGGTGCGATTGGCGTGTGCGCTTGTGGCTGATGATAATAAGGTTCGCCTCAGTGGCTAGAAACTCCGCGCTTCCGTCAGTGTGGCCATTGAGGCTCAGGTGGCGAGTGATTAAGGCCTCTGGGTAAAGGCAACGGGCCGAGGTAATCGGAAATGAGAGGAGGGAGGGGCACCTGGGATGACGAGATTATCAACCAAGTGGAGTATCGCTTGTCTTGGCAAGGTGATCGTGTGATCCTAGAGGGTTTGTTGCAGGTTAATCCGCGTGTAAAACTTTGTGATTGCCAGAAACTCTAATCGGTTCATCTGTTCAGCCGGTGACCCTGCAAACCCATCCCGTCCGAGCCGTCCTTTCCGGCTGGGCATCCAGTCGGCTCGTAACGGTGTCATTAAAACCATTCCGCGATTACTTTCGGTCTTAAGGAAACCTTCCGCGGTATTCGTTCGCAGCAGCGTCAGCGGACCCGTTGTCCCACCTAGCCACACTACGTAGGTTTTGATCAGCCGTCGACGCCGCAATTACGGCATAACCGACACATCTTGCACCATTTATCCACTCTGATATCGCGATGTATAGTTTTGGCAACACAGCAATAAAGCATCTCTAACAAGCACGCATCAAACTGCTGTATACCGGTAGTCCGTCTCGAACCCCAACGACGCATTCACTCTGTACAAATAAGAACAGAGTCGCGAGTTGCAGGCAAGACTCCAGCTGCAGATGTGCGTACATGGCATCTCCAAGCGCGCGGGCGGCATGCAATCGCTGCCGGAACTGTGCTTAAAGTTTGATGATCTTGCGGGCGGAGGCAGGCAGGACGCAGGCGTCGTCCGTGCAGACTCCTGCGGAGACGTCGTGGGCGGCGGGGGGTGCGTAGCCTGCCATGGGTGAGAAATGTTCGGGGTTCTGGAGGAGGGTACCAGTGGGGCCGCAGAAGAAGAGGAAGGCCGCGAGGGCGAGGAAGGCGAGGAAGGCGAGGAAGGCGAAGATAAATGCACGTCGACGAGCGAAACGAGATCTTGGATTTGCTCGAGAAGAGTTGTAGAATGGTAGACGGTCCTTCGATGTGATTGAATGCATGTTGGTTCGACTCCACCAGTCTCGCGCACAAAGAACGGGGCTCGCCCAACGTTAACGCAGGCCTAGGCACTATCGATAACTGAAATTTCCTGTTTGTCAAGGGTCCTCGTACCGAACATCCCAGAGTACCTTGGTAGACGAACTTCTAAATATGGCAGTTATGGACCCTCAGGCTCAGATCGATGTACTTACGGAATGGATGAGGCAGCACAAGATCTATGTTCACCCCAATTTGGTTGTGAAGCCGCATGATCAGTACCCTGGGTTCGGGGTTTACGCTTCGGAGAACGAGGAGCGTCAAATTGACGAGCATACTACGATCCTGAAAGTGCCCAAGTCGGCAATTCTGTGCCCGGTTACTTCTGGGATTGCTAATCTTCTTGAGGAGGCGGAGATCGATGGCATGCTTGGTGTTGCTGTGGTGTACTTGTACGAGAAGAGCTTGGGTGAGAAGAGTCCGTGGTGGGGATACCTTCAGATTTTGCCGGAAAGCGAGGACTCGCCGAAGCTGTGGCCCGGGGATCAGAAGGAGTGGTTGAAGGGTACTGAGGTCGAGGAGGTCGGTGGTCTTGACGACTCTGACGTGAAGGAGCACTACAACGACGTCCTCCTCCCGTTTTTCAAGGAGAACCAGGAGGTCTTCCCTACGGCTTCTCTTAAAACCGACTTCTCCTACGATGCCTTTGCAAAAGCCATGAGCGTCGTTGCTTCCCGCGCTTTCGAGATCGATCAGTACCGTCAGCTCGCCCTTGTCCCTTTCGCCGACATCTTCAACCACGGTGCTGAGGAGCACGTTCACTTCGAGACCAACGATGATGTCTGCATGGTCTGTGGTGAGTTCGGTTACTGTGAGCACATGGCTGCCGAAGATGAGGAGGAGGAGGAAGGCGCAGAAGAGGAGTCAAGAAAACGCCGCGTGTCCGATGCCTCATCCTGCCCCTCCCTCTCCGGAGCCCCTGAAGAGCCTCTCCGCCAAGAACCTGACGACGCCGACAACGAGGATTTGTACAAGGATGATTTCGATGCCAACGACGATACCTGCGACATGACAATCGTCCGCAAGACCTCACCCGGAGAGGAGATCTTCAACACCTACGGTCCCCTCGGAAACGACGTCCTCCTCGCACGATACGGATTTGCAATCAAGGATAACGAGGCAGACAGTGTCAGTATTGCAAGAGAGATGCTCGCTACTGAGGGCTCGAGAAAGAAGTGGTGGTTGGCGAATGCGCATGCTGTGTGTAAGACTTTGGGGCTGTTGGAGGACGATGAGGAGGGCCATGGTGGTTGTGGAAGTGACTGTGAGTGTGGTGATGAGCATGATGATTGTGGGTCTGATTGTGATGACGAGCATGATCATGACCACGAGCGCGAGCGCGAGCACGGACATGACCATGGTTCTCACGACCATGACGACGAGGAGGATGAGGAGTCTGCCGATGAGGAGATTGGTGGCAAAGAGGATGGTGAGGGCTGGGAAGACGAAGACGACGAGGAGCACGACGATGAAGAGGAAGAAGAGGACGAGGAGGAAATCGACCCCGAAGAATTCGCTCAGGACTGCCTCACCATCGACTATCCATCAGCACCATCCTCGCCCCTCCTTGTCCTCCTCCTCATCTACTCCATTCCCGCATCCTTCTTCGAGCTCGGCCTGTCCGATCCACAAGGCGCTCTCGTCCAGCTCGGTGAGCTTCTCGAGATCATCTCTGAGATCGGTGCCGGTGAACTCGCTGTCCTCGAGGTTGCCTCTGAGAAGCCCAAGTTGAAGATCATTACCGAGGCGTTTGAGAATTTGGAGACAGCTGTGAGGAAGAGATATGAGAGGTATGCTGATGCGAAGATCACCAGTGCTGAGTACGAGGTTATTATCAATGAGCTTCCTAAGGAGGAGACGAGGAAGAGGAATGCGCTGACTGTTGTTGCAAATGAGAAGAAGATTTTGGAAGGTACTTTGGAAAGTGTGGACAGGCTGTTGGCGTTGTTGCGTAAAGCCACCGAGAAGAAAACTCAGAAGAAGCCTGCGGGTAAGAACCTTAAGAAGGGAAGGAAGTAAATGTGTCTTCACCATACTTAAGTTCTAGCATAGACCTCGCAGCTGAATTAACAGCAAACACGAAATTTCATAAGAATAACCAAAAAGTTCCCCCATATCCGGGTAAATAGAAAACGTCTGACACCATTATAAATACTTCAACAGGTGTATTTATATAGACGAGCCACCTGCAGAGCGGGCGTGTCTTTCTTCATGTCATTCTGCGCCTCCAACCACACCCTCGCCTGATCAAAGATGGAGCTCGAGTAATACGTCTGCTCAAGACCTACGCGGGGTATCATGTTAGCCTAAGGGTATATCTTCCAGTTCGTGGTCGTAGATGGCGGTACCAGCTGCATCAGGTAATGGATCTGAACCACGGTCTGTGATGTGCATGTCTTCCAGTAATGAGGAAAGAATGCCTTGTCCCTGTGCACGAGGTTAGCCATGTCGTCGAAGTTCAAGTGGATGCGTACCTCGTAAGTATTCTCACTGTATCCCTGGACTTTTGTAACGACTCCGTCTGGGATATACGAGAACCGTCCAGCGGCTTCTCCATCCATCTTCGCCCATCCCCATTGCAGAATCTGAAACGTTAGTAATTCATGTGAAGGTGGGGGCTTGACGACTAACCTGCATCATATAGGCCACGATATGATACCCGGTCCGGGCATATTTTGCCCCAAGAAATCCTTGCAGCCATTGGCGTTTGGATTCATCTCGCAACTCGAGGCCGGCGACGCAGGAGGCGGGTAACATGGCAGAGTCGATCTCATCGTCACAGAAGGCGTATGCTCGCAGAACTTCCTCAGCATAAGCGATGATCTTGGGTGTTTGGAGGAAGACATCTTGTTCTACAAGACGGTGGATACCAATGTAAGTCGCGAAGCAGTTCCCTAGGACGACGGCGATGTTCTGTTCTGGGTATGATCTTGGGGTGAGACCGCCATGGCCTGGTAAGCCAATGTCCGGATATCCATCAAACCACGAAGGCAAACTCAAGCGGAATTCGTCGAGCTCTGCTTCGAGAGCTGCGGCTTTTTCTTTGATCAGTGCTTCCAGCTGCAGTCGTCGACGAGGATCCGTGTCACCCGCCCTCTTCTTTCGGCGCTTAACCGCCCAGTCTTTCGAAGCGGTGAACTTTCCAACAATCGTGTCTAGTCGGACGAAGGCAAGCTCAGCGACATATACGATTGGTTGATCTTCTGGATATGGCTGGAAGGCTAACGGGTGCAGGGTCTTGACCAAGTGCTCATCAAGCCAAGCAGGGTTTCCAGTAACTAAACTGCACTGAACATCCATATGGACATACCATACGAACAAACTTCGGGTAGCGGCAGTGAACGTTCCTTGCGCGTGTCTGGCATGGATGGCATGAATGATCTTCAAAAGTTGCATCGCCATCTTGACATGTTCACCAACCCAGAGATCATAATACGCCAACAACGTCGCACAAGCAATCGCAGCATCGGAATACGTGGTCTCAGGCTCGTCCGACGCTTCAGCTTGGAGCCCAGTTGCTCGATCATAGTGGTATGATGTGGCCTTGGCAGCTGCCGCCTTGTCCGGGTTGATCGATAAGGTATAGAACATATCCGCCGTGGCTAACATCGCTTCCAGAAGCGCTTCACAGTCTTTCGCGCCGGTTTGGAGAGCCATACTCGGAGCGTACTGCAGCCAAAGATCGAAGTATAACGGTCCACTGTGCTGCATTCGTGGCCCGGCAAACTCCATGTACTTGTCCAGCAACTCTTGGTAGTTCGATCGATTCATCCTTTCATTCCTGGGTGGTTTAGGTCGATGGGTCGAAAGAGCCGTGTTTGCCATGTGAGGTATTGAGTTCATTACATAATCCGGAAGCCATTGATCAGGCGGTAGCTCAAACGGGAACCCTGTCATGTTACTTTCCAGGACGTGTATGATATGTTCATCTTCATCCGACTTCGCCGTCTTTCGCGATCCGCAGTATGTATTGACATCATTTCCGTGGTGACCGTTCGATAGCCGACGCTTTCGAGATCGATGACTTAAAGCCACAGCCTTATTCTCGGCCCGTTTGGCAAGCAATTCAGCGATTAATCCTTCAATATTATCTGTGAAATATCGGTCAATCGCGACTGAACATCGAAGAAGATCAATGGATCAAACACATACCCAGTTTGGCCTCGGCAGTCTGGATTCGCATCCGACCCAGCTCCTTGAAGTTACCGGAGCGGTCGGCGGCACCATCCATCATGGACGATGCCAGTTGATGACGAGGATCGCGAGGCATCAGAGTCGTCGGTACTCTTTTCTGTTGCTGTTCGGGTTTAACTTGCGCCGAGGCGAACTACAGTATTAAGGTTGGGTTAGACCGTACGTGTGCATGCTCAAGTGGCCTGTCCCGCTCGCATTTAAGCTGTGGAGATCTACGGGAAGGCCAAAGCAATCGAGGCTGGGAGATCTCCCGCGAAGATAATCGCGATCGATAGAATACATCGAGGATAGATTAGAGACACATTATCAAGTTAAGTGTAAGTAAAAGACTAGCTAAAACCATTAGGTACCGAGACCATCTACTGATGAGAGAGAAAGAGAAACCCTTGCGCCGTAAAACATACTGAATGATGCGACTGCCTCCCCGATCATTAACGTCTTCCTCCATTAGCAGCGCTTCGTCGCTTCACCGCCCAACCCTTCAATGCCATCACTCCCGTCACCCAACTCATGATCATTGCCGAAGCCGCAACGCACAAGTTCGCCACGAACATCGCGTCAACATCCCAGCTCTCGAGCGCCTCCATAGTGTCCTGGTTAGACACCATAAAGATCATACCTCCACAAATAAGACAGAAGCTGGTCAAAACTTCAGTCCATGGACGCGAGGGAAGGTATGACTTTGGCGGAGACAACCAGAAGAGACAGTATGTGCAGAGACGAAAGAAAGACGCCATAGCCAAAAGCTTACCCCATTGCGCGTGAACCATAGTGGAGATCATAGATGCCTGGTGGTGAGCAGACATCATGACTCCGGTTGCAAAGACGATCAATGCAGGCATAGGGTTGTAAGAGAATCCGTACTGCACAGGCGCCTGAGCGGCTTCTTCCGCTGAACCACGGAAGTGAGAATCCTCGATAGCTGAGGAGATGTTCGCGTTCAGAAGCCTGCGGATGCGCTTCGATTCGAACAAAACACCGCAAAGACCGGCCCACAAGAACATAAATGCGATGGAAACATGCTGCAAGTCGGTGTGCGACCAAGTGCCGTCCACGCTAGACATATGTTCCATAAAGGACTGCGTAGCCCCGTAGAAGAGGATAGCACTTGACTCGACCATCTCGGCAGTAGCTGCTCCCTCACGACCAAGAGGCGCCGGAGGCTTCACGTTCCAGGCCCAACCAAGGTTGGCAAAAGCACCAAGGTAACGTCCGAGAGTAAGGAGACCGTAAAGCAAGAAAACACTGCCTTTGATGAAATGAGCAATACCGTTGAAGACAACGTTGCCCTTGAAGATACCGGTATAGGTAACGATACCCATACAGAATTGTGCGTAACCCAGGACAAACATCGGACGACCAAGGACAGCATGGAAAATGCGAGTCAAGGCGGAGAATGTACCGGAAACACTGGTAAGACCAGCCTTCTCGAAGATCTTCAATCCAAAAATCTTTTGCAAGACAATGCGTTCAGAACCACGTTCAGGCTCAGCGAACTCTTTGGCAAAAGGCTGTTCCTCGTCGTGATCACCGAGATAGCGAGGCGAGTTGACCTCAGTGGGTGTAGAAGGACCAGAAACAGCGGTTCCCTGGCTCTCTCCGCTAGAGGTGTTGCCCGCCTCGGACTCGGACCACCGGGCTTGACCTTGGTTGAAGTGCGACTCGTCCATGTCTGGGTCTTCAGTGTTTGCCAAAACGAAGACATGCTCTTCATTCTTGGATGACTTGGACCATCGAACAAAACCGCGGATGATTCCAGAGACGGCCTGGGCGCCGAGCATGGCGATGAGGACCCATCCCATGTTGTGGTGAGAGTTGTTTTCGTACATATCTGGTGTCATAGAGTTGTACAGGATTGCGAAAGCGGTTCCGAGCGCCGTAAGACCGAGGAATGCAAGCTGAACTGGAACGTGGAAGGGAGACTGTGCGACACCGAACATGACACCTGGACAACGAGTCAGCATACATGCGTAGTCAGAGTAAAGAACGATGATCCTTACCTACTGGCAGTAGGAAAAACCATGCGATCACCATGCAGACGATATGACCGATGATCCAACCTCGGTGTTGAGGGAGCTGCATATATGACTGAGGTTCTGATGGAGCCTCCACGGTCGTAGGACGAGCATGATCGTCGTGACCCTCGCCAGTGGCTTCCTCGCCCATTTCCATTTCCATATCCATAGCTATATGCGCAGACCCCGTTGTTGGAACCTCTACCTCAACTGCCGTTGCTGCAGGCATACTCGCCATCACGACCGTCGAAGGGACCGTCGAATGGGCCGCCGCCACGATCGAGGAGTGATCGGAATGGACGGTTTGAAGAGAGTCTGATGATTCTTCTCCATCACTTCCATGCGCATTTACCAGAGAAAGGCTGGCGACGAAGCCGAGCGTGGCCGCTGTGTATGCTGCGACGCGCATCTCGTCGATGACGTACTTTTAACCAAAAAAAGTCGGAGACCTCGGAGGGAAACTGTGGATCCGGAGCTGTTAGAGGTTGATCTGCTAGCTATAGCTAAAGCCTTAACGCTCAACTGATGGGATGGTTGACGAGCGAGCGGTGGGTGTGTTGTTGTTTGCGCAAATGGTCGAGTCAGGATTTCTCAGTGCGAACGGAGCCGGTGCCATACTGCGGAACGTGGCGGAGTATATGGGCTGCGCATGCAATGCTGCATTAGGTACCGCAACAAGCATCGCACAAGAGCTGAAGTGCCCGAGCTGACTAACAAATACGCCCAATTGGCCCGGCATCTGACACCCGGAGACCAACCCTGCCGACTTTTCCGTTTCCATCTCCTTCGCTTGTTTTCTGTAGCAAGAGCCATCTACTCGTAATGAGCTGTGACAACGGGCTGATTGATCATTGCGCGCAGCGAGGGCTTACTCGGTCACTCCCGGCGGGCATCTCTTTCTGCAACCGCGGAACTCTCATCGGATTCGGTCATCATGCTACACCGTGTACTGCCGCGATTACGCGATCGCGGGAATGGCGGGTAGAGAGCGCGACGGCCGGAGATGAATAAATATGACTAATGTAAAATACGAGATGTCCTCAAAGGCAATTACAGGCGATGTCTTTTTCTATCATCATCGTTACGTTAGCCGCGCTGGAGGAGATCAAGGCCCACCTTTCACGCGCTCTTTGCTCGATCTCATCGCAAGTTATCGTATCGCGATCGGACGTCGGCCATCCCAGAGTTGCTGCACAGCTGGAACCCAATACTCGTAGAACGGCATGTGAAGAGTCTCAAATCAAAGCCCACCTCATCTCCACCAGACTGCTGCATCTCCTGGTGTACTCCCCGGCAAGCCGGCATCGTAAACTAACACACATAAGCATTCGTTAGCCTGCATTCGGACTTTTTGACAGCCCAACTGGCTGAACAAAAGCATTTTTTCGCTTAGTTTCGTCGATTTGGATTCTGGTTTTGGGATGGTGGGTGGCTGATGGATGGCTGAACCGCTCTGATCACGTCGGACTTGATTGGAGAACAGTTCCCGAGGATAGGAAAACCACGGCTTGATGATGCTGACTCATGTCACATGGGAGCGTAGGCTTGCGGATTATTAGTGTGCTGTTCGATATCGATGCTATGTAAATATCTCTGTAGCTATTGATCGTATGTTGATGAGCTAGGTCGGGGAATTGGTGCAACGGTTTAAAGTGAAGTGACCAGAAATCCATGCGACTATAACACATATGCACCACCTGCCTTACAATCCATCCCGTTGGTTATGAGTTCACGTGGGTGATCCTGGACACGCCCACGTCTAGAATGTGCTGTAAAGCGATGTCCAAGGACGGTAGGATACGGGCCCGGGGGGTCGTGGGAATTTCAAACCATCCAAATTACGTGAGCCGACACGCAGATGAGGGGGAAAGACGAGATCAGGAGCTCTCATATCCTGTATTGCATTATCATAGCAGCAGTAATTACTCCCTTTTTCAGTAACAATCAAGTCTCGGCAAATTTACGATGATGACGGCACGGTTGCAGTTATCGATAATCACGCGCGGTCGCCCCCACACAGCAGCTGGCCCTGGTACGGCAGCTAGAAGTCGGCCCAGCTGGAGTCGGCACTTTTGGACGACTTACGGTGGGTTGCTGCTACATGTACTCCTGCTGCCAAGCTTGAATCTTCCCGTGCCCAACCGTCATCTTCAGAACCCGTCGCCCAGGCAGAAGAACCGTGAAGCCACTATCTATCAGCAGCATACATCTGTATTTCTTGCCTGTACCCGGTACAGCTCACCTTCTTTCTCGCCGTTCCAGCGGACAAAATCTCTATACGCGCCCGACATGTCATTAACGCTCAACCATACTCAGCTCCAGCTGTCATCGCCTACCGTGCTCCCTGCCCCTTTGGCTCAGCTTGTCACGACGCTGACGACACACCTTTCACTCGGAATTACGGCGACTGCAATCCTCACTGAAGCTCTGCTGGAATGGTGGAGGAATGGAATTTTAATCGCTTTGGAAGGCATTCGGCTTTTTGGCGAGGGCGTAATGTTGGTTTCCATACAGGATATGAGACAAATACGAGGAAAGGAAACGGACGGGGAACGATGGGGCCGAGCGGGGGTAAGAATCTACATCTGCCTGCACCGTGTAGAATTTTGACTAACTGTTTGCACTTCAGATTCACTTTATTCACACCACGCTTTCCTTGGTCGAACTATTTAACCTTACTTCAGTACATGTCGTCCAGTCTTGCGTATCCGCGAGCCTAAACCTAGCGGCACTCTCTGCCCAGAACCTCGAACTCATCTTCGGTAATAGTGATGCCAGCAGGGCTATCGCAGCTATCGTCATGGTATGCCGGAGGGAGTTTAGTCATCCTGGTTTCGGATACGACAAGGACGTGTCTTCCATCAGTACGATGCGCAAGTTGGTGAGTGGTATAACTTGGTTTGCGGTCTTGCAGAATAAGGTAGGCGTGAGAGGCGCGAGGACAGGGCGTGGTGAAGTCATCGTGAGTGTGCAGGTGCCCGCTCGGAAAACAACCACGATTGCCGGGTTGATTGGAGATGTACCCAAATTGAATGGCAACGACTTTGACGGTGGGACATTGAGTAGGTGCACGACCTACACGGAGGATACTATGTCTGATAGTGCCGTCGATTGCGCATCGACTAGCGAGATGATGGGAGAGCCTGACTACTACACAACGGCGCCTCCATCGCCAGGGCTGACGTTCAACCAACCGTCCAAATATCAATCGCTGGCTTCTCAGTTGGCGGTATCCACACCCGAACGTATGGATCGCCTTGATATCCGACTCGTCGCTCGCTATATGCGCCATTCCTCAGCAGCATATGGTTCGGCATTCCTCCGTATTCTTGGTCTGAGCACCCCAACTGCTTACGCTAAATCCCCGACCGCTGTCGAGGCCTACTCAATCCACGCAAGAATCCCTCCACAAGCCGTTATTGAGTCGTCATACACACCTGGCGGTGCGGGCGAAGGCATTGTTTGGTTCATCAGTGCAGATGAGTCTGCGAGGAATGTCGTTCTTACGTGTCGAGGGACTCTTGGTCTGGGAGACTTGATTGCCGATCTCACGGCTGACTATCTGCCGTATGAGACGCCGGGCGGGAAAGGTTGGGCGCACAAGGGGATGGTACACGCGGCGGAAAGATTGAGCACTGGTGTTTTGAGATCGCTGAGCGAAGCTCTGAAAGCGAGGCCTGGCTACGGGCTTGTTTTGTGTGGACACAGTCTTGGCGGAGGAGTATCAGCATTACTAGGATTGAAGTGGGCGATACCAAACGCAGAAGGAGAATGGATCATCAACCCGGGTGGACCTCTACCTATGGGAAGGCGAGTATCCGTGTATGCATACGGGCCACCGGCAGCTGTCTGTCCAAAGCTTGCCCGATATGCGAAAGGCTTGGTGACGAGTGTCGTGAATGACACTGATGTGGTACCGTACCTGAGCTGGGGTATGATTCGGGACGCCAAGAACGTCGCACTGGAGCTTGGTGAAGCGCCTGAAGTGGTAGATGAGATCCGAAGACGGGCGCTCCGTTCCTCACAGTACACGACGGGGCTATCCTCGTCGAAACTCCTGGAGATGGATAGTGCGTGTGACGACGAGGATTGGTTCTTGTCTGTGATCAAGACACTGAGAGCAGTGATGACTTCTGACAAGCTCGTCCCGCCAGGCGACGTACTGCAAATGCAGTCAGAACGCAGGTTGGACGGAGAGACCTACGTCGTCGCACGGCAGCTCAGGGACGTCGAGGATTGTTTTGGTGAGGTCAAGTTCACCAAAGCGATGTTCATCAGTCACAGCCCGAAGGAGTACGAAAAGATGCTGCGTATTTTGGAAAGAGCATCGACGGGAACAGAACGAAACGAATGACGATTGCAACGGCAATGGAATAGAGGAGGTGAGTCGGAACATATCTATGGACATTGACCCGACATGGCATACATAGCTTCGAGGTAGTTTGCATTAGCACACACAACATTTACACTTTACCTGTATAACTTTAGTATCCGCGCGAGGTGCAGAAGGGCGTCGAGATCGACAAGATGCGGGTTCGCCAAAGGGGCACGTGCTGCGGGTCCTTTTCCAGCCAATCTCGGTCCTTCGGGGGTTGCAGCCTGGGCGTATTTGAGGGTCCCTCTTACGTCCGTCCTGTCGTCGGTCGTCGGTAACGCGCGTAGATCGATGTATCCCGTGAGCTCGCCGGTCGCCACCCAAGAGCAATCGGCTGGAGAAGCGTCCTGCCTTCCGTTCCCGAATTGCTATCTTACACGTAGACGAGACGTTCCCAATCAAGAATATCGACAATCATAGGGTTACCTGCTTGTGCGCAGATCTAGACTCTGCTCCGTCTAAGCTAATTAGTGCGCTCGCCGATGATTTCCGGTGGGACGCCTACAGCCAGAGCCAGCTAGGCCTTCCTTCACAGGGCGTACGACCGGTAGAGGCAAATCCCAGCCAGGCCCTAGGAACACGAAGTCGATCGAATCAACCATCAGCTTCGACGCAGCCTGGAAGAGACATTGAGCCAGGGCGTTTTACCGGCTGATCTGAATCTGGCCATTGGACGATCATCGTTTGCGCCTTTGAACTCTACTTGTCTTCCTGACCTTTCGGCCCATTCCTTCCGCCGATAGGACACTTTGAAAAGACATTCTCGGGTTTTTGCTATAGAGCCGTATGACCGCAGGGCCTACAGATTCATCACCATCAGATCAACCTGTGCTAGCTCCCACTGCCGCTTCGACCGCCTCAAGTCGTTCGAAGGACCGTGCAAGAGACACCTTCTTCGGAGCTCCATCACCTGCGAGACGACAGACGAATCTCGACCACGTATCGCATTCTGAGGAGCAAGACCCAGACGAACGCGAGCGTTCAAAGGTCGCAAGGGAGGACAAGGAGGTCCGCGACGCAAAGATGCAGACAGACGAGCTGCACACAAGGGATGAAAGCATACGTGCCCAGTTCCAATTGAAGGAGAAGATATCCGCATTGTGAGTTTGCCGCCAATTGCCGTCCAATGCCGATTCTAACTTACGTGCTCTAGCCAATACTATGACTTGGAATCCGCTGCCAAACAACAGGAGCTGACGCTGCAGAGATGTGCGCGACTTATGAGTATTGCTGGGGATGCGCCGTATGCTCAGATTAGCCTTATATCGAAAGAAGTTACAGGCTTCTACGTCGCCGGGGACAAAGGCTTGGACAAATTCTACGCGGGAACCAAGCATATACCCTTTGAGGATCTGCCATGTTCTACGGTGTTGATGCCTGCAGTTAAAGGCGAGGTTGACCCGCATGAAGGGCGAATAGTTCAAGTCAACGACTTGCATAACAATGATACGTTCAAGGACATGCCGCTCATCAAGTCTGACAAGACTCAGGTCAGGTCATACGCGGGTTGCTGTATGTTTGCCAGCGTTGAAGGCCGTCCAGACCAGATCCCTATCGGAGTTGTCTGTGTGATGGATACGGTCCCTGACCGTGCTTGGACCGAGGAACAGTTGCGGAGTTTGCACGATCTTTCGCTCATCATTGTGCAGGAGCTGGATCTTCGCGCACACCGTGCTATTGAGAAGCAGATGGAGGGAGATAAGGTTAACGAGACGCGATATTGGAGTCGCGTAAACAAAGCTCTTTGGACCTTTGCCAGGTTAACGTGAACACGCCAATTCCTAGACATCAAAATGTGCTAACTAGTTGATTATAGGCAAGCCGGCCATTTGACTAATGAAGACTTGGAGGAGGAATTTCAGGATGAGCACCGGGGTAACGCACCAACAAGCAGCACTCAGTCTGCATCTCTTGGTAACAAGAGTAAGGGAAGCAGCACCAAGGAGTCGGAGAAGAGCAACATTTCCTACGGCGATGTCAAGATCTATGACCTTGCGTGCAGGGTTATGCGTAACGCTCTTGAGATTGATGGTGTTTCCATAATCGATGTTCGAGGTTTGGAGCTTTCGCCTGACCGCAAGGGAGCCGAGGATGCTGCCGATGGCAATACTGCACACCAATGGAAGCTGTTTGGCAGTGCAAGGCATCGCGAGCAGGCGAGGTTGGGAGCGCAGGAAAACATCAACAGGCAGATGAGCACAAGGTGGCAAAATGTCAGCCAGTCCGACAAGAGTGTTGCGAATGTGGAGCAGCAACATGTTGAGGAGCTGAAAGAAGCTAGGATGTCTCCCTTCTTCGCCGTTGGAGCCTCTGGGCAGCAGCAACGCGTGCCGACGACAGAACGGCAGAGACGTGCTGATGAGGAAAAGAAGGAGAACGACGAGTTTGACGCTCAGGCGGCGCGGGTTGAGATCTATGCTTCAGTTGCCCCGAATATTTCCGGTCACTACAAAACAAAGTTCAACGAAGGAAGTCTCACTTCGTCCTTCTTGCGCGGCGTTTTCGAGGATGGTGCATACGGCAAGTTTTATCAGCGCGACGATGGTTTCCCGCCGGAGGTTCTCGAATTTGTACCATCCACCACGTATAGCGTGCTATTGAAGCCTCTCTACGACCACGACCGCAAGCCATTCTGTTTGGTTGTCGGTTACACCGTTGCGAACTCTAGGCGTCTCACAGTGAACGACGCCTATAGTTTTGATATTTTTGGCCTTGTGGTTCTGAACGAATTCTTGCGACGTTCCGCGGTTGAAGCTGACCAAGCTAAGGGCTTGTTCATTTCGAACATCTCGCACGAATTGAGAAGTCCCCTGCACGGCATCTTGGCTAGTGCCGAGTTGCTGTCCGAAGCTCCCGATCTTTCGAGTGCTGATCGAACGTTCTTGCGGACGATTACTTCCTGCGGCCAAACTTTGCAGGACGTCATCAACCATGTGCTTGACTTTGGAACTCTTACTACAACCGCTGGTCGCGAGACCCTTAACCATGCTCCTGAACAAAATATGGCTGCTATTGATCTTGTGCGCTTGATCGAGGAAGTTGTCGAGTCATGTTGGACTGGCTGGGAGTTCAAGAAGCTCTCTCACTTGTTCGATAGCGGTGGTATGGAAAGCTCGGTTGGTGAAAAGATGCAGAAGAGCGGCGATGAGAAACTGAACGAAGTCAATGCTATGAGTTTTATCCTTGATGTCGCACCCAGGGAGGGCGGTTATCATGGCTTGTTGCATGGAGGAGCATGGCGCCGTGTTGCTATGAACTTGATTGGAAATGCGTTGAAGTACACCAGTCAAGGTTTGCTAACTGTCAGTTTGCGCGAGGCCTCAGGTGACGACGTCGAACGAATTTTGGGCGGCCGCAGACGCATGGAAAGGGGTCGCAATTTTGTGCCCATTTATCTGAGTGTCAAGGACACTGGACGCGGAATGTCGACCGAGTTCTTGCAGAACAAGCTTTTCAAGCCGTTCAGTCAAGAAGACCCATTGTCTACTGGAACGGGTTTGGGTATGGCAATCTCGATTAAGCTCATCCAGTCACTGTTCGGTGAGCTTCACGTCACTTCCGAGCCTGGCGTTGGTACGAATATGGAAATGGTCTTTGAGCTCGAAATGACAACGGAAGGGGGTGATAGTCTTATTAACGTACCCCTTCCCGCTCAGATTAGCGGTCACAAACCACGCGTGGCTCTTGTCGGCTTTGACGAGACCCATTCATCTCAGGGACAGGTTTTCGAATCTCTTGCTAGCTGCATCAGAGAACACCTCGGTATGGAGGTCACAACAGACAGCAGAAGTGCGGATGTTATCCTCATGCATGAGTCGTCCAACACCTTCAGCAAGCTGAAGGAGTTCAAGTTGTCCCTTGATGTGCCTTGCATCCTCTATTGCTCGAGTTCGACTAGGTTGAAGATCATTCGTCACCCCAGCTTGAAATCTGGACGTAACTTGCACTTTTTGGCGAAGCCTAGTGGACCGCTCAGACTCGCTCAAGCTCTTGCCTGGGCGTTGAACGGTAATGCACCCATTGCCTCCAACGCCAGCAGCGCGTCGGATTCCGATGCAGGAAGTGACAGCGATGGCTGTATGTCGGATCTCATTGACGGGATTCGCGATGAGGGTAAAGAGGCTGTTGAGGCCAAGCACGCAAAGAAGTGCGGTGCGCACAAGGACTCTTCCAAGAGAACCGCGAAGCACGAACCTGCGGAATCAACTTCGGCGCAGGACTCTGACGTGAGTGCGCCTTCGTCACTTGCATCAAATGCTCGAACGCCTTTCGTGATGATTGTAGAGGACAACCGCATCAATATGATGATTCTCGGAAACTTGCTGCGCAAGCTTGGAGTCGCTTACGTAGAAGCGGAGAACGGTGCTGTTGCCGTCCAGCGATTGCAAGAACACCCTACTGGTTTCGACTTGGTGCTCATGGATATTCAGATGCCCGTCTTAAACGGTTGTGCTGCCACTGCCGCCATCCGGACAATTGAGGCGACGCGTGCTATTCCTCCGGCCAAGAGAGCCCATATCGTGGCCATGACCGGATTGAGTGCACCGAATGAGAAGGTCAATGCTTTTGAGGCAGGTGTAGATGCATTCCACACGAAGCCGGTATCTATAAAAACGCTTAAGACTATCATTGAGGAATGGCAGGCGCAAGAGAACATGCGAGACGCTCTTGCGGTTGAATCAAGCGAATGAAACGTTAACAGGGTTTGGGGGGGGGGGGGGGCAATGATCTAGGGGGTCTAGGGGTATACACGTCTTTGGTTGTGCATTTTTTTGGAAGGGGCGTCGTGGGACAATGTTTATTTTGCAGGGTTTTTGGATTCTCTTTTAGTACACGTAAGCTCACCTTGGCTACATATAATACAGCTGCAGTCTTTCACCACTCTGGTGTTCAACCCTCGTACAAAGTGCGGGGATTCTGTACTCGTGCACCAAGGCCACCTTCACTTTTCTCACCGAGATGCTCGCTACATTTCTAGGGTAAGTTCGACTGGTACCAGTATTCATGTCAACGCGTAAGTCCCGTACAGTAAAAACATGAATCAGTTAAGCAGTAAGAACAAACGGAATTATAGCAGCTCAGCAGCTGAAGACTCTCATCCACATCATGTGCCTCTCCAGCATCCGTAGCGAAACAGAGTAAGAAAGGTTCTACCTCGTCTCGCGCAGTGCCCTTTTTCATATTAGATATTACTCCTCTTCCTCCTCCACCTCCAAATGTCCTGGGTAGATAGATACCCACAGCCTCAATAGCACCTTTCACCCTCTCTGACATACGACGCTGCTCCAAATCATCCTCCTTCTTCTGGTTGCTTTTGAAGCTGAGCCCGCGGTCGCCGTTCTTCGCACGCAAGATAACATCAACTGCATGCATGCCATCGATAAGCATACCAACCATCTCTCGGTTAGTATGCTTGAGGTAGATCTTCCGGTAGTTGTTCAAGGTGTTCACTCCAGGGCCATAGATCCTTGTCACCGATTTCATCTCGCCCTGTTCAAACCACTTCCAGCCTTGACTTCCGTCAGTAACACACTCGATCGAGAGCATCCATTCTCGGGCTGTGTCCTTCCAGTTGGGCGGCGGAACAGGCATTTTCGCTGGAGGTCCATAGGCATCCAGGTCGTTATCTGGAGTGTTGAGTGCCCATTCCCAAGGATCGAATCAAGGGCGAGGCGGGTAGCCTCTGCGAGGGTACGTCGTCGCAGACTCAGTTGCTGACGGATTTGGGTTGTGGGGAAGAATGATGGAAGGCGCATCAAAGTCGGATGCTTCATAATCATTGCAAGGGTTGAGGTTGTGGTCAATATCGTTGGACAAGCAGCATGTCATCCTCAAAAGGCGGCGCCTGGTCTCGTCAAGAGCCTTACCCAGGCGGAAGTTGATGGCTTTGACCAGTGGCATGCAACAACACATGATTGTGCGTGCATTGTTGCCCATATTCTGTAGTTCCTGCTCCGATCTACCATTCTCATGCCACTCATCGCGCCCATTTTTCTCACACGCACACTTAACACCCCTGCGTTCAGTGGACACTTGCTTGCGTTATCTCTTGGCATATGATACAACCTCGTCTTCTTTCCTTCTGGCTCCTTAGGCAACCACTTCTCCATGGCCTTTGCTGGGTCAATTCGCCCCCATTCAGCATCACACACAGGATAGATCCACCTTCCCTTGTATGCAAAGACTTGGAGCTTGGGATCGTCGGATTTGGGCTGCTTACCATGACGAATGAGACCCTTCTCTTCCTTTTTCATAGCTTTGTAAAGCTTCCAGATCTTGAATATTTAGTTGATGATAGTTGTCAGAAAGTGCTGCTTATTGCAAAGATCCGAGAAGGCAAGTTAACCTGGGCCTGATCGAAATTTGGGCCGAAGAAGTTTGTACGGTCCCGGTACAGTTGAGTAACGAGTTGGTAAGGTCAAGTTGGGCGAGAGTTTCAGATGTCATCATTCACTTGAGATTTCCTTAAGAAGCAGTCGTGAGAGACCCGCATGCGCAATCCTAGCGCGCCGCTGCATGAGATATCCCGATGCGGCACTTGACAGCTGCAGCAACTTGCAAGTCACCAGTACCCGCGTTGGATCAGGAGTGAGTCCAAAAACATACGCATGATCTAGCTATCGATTTACTCTAATGCATATGGTCTCCGCAAGTGTAAGCATGCATAGTCTCAGCTCTTTCACTCGATCTCCAGATCGATCAACCGCTCAGCCAACTGCTCCACCCCCGATCCGTCCTCGAGCTCACGTTCACGTGCACTCTCAAGAACATGCTCCATCCATCCAATCCCCTCCTTTAATCCAACGACATAATCCCCTGCAAAATGATCATTAACGAAAAACGGCATAACCATCCTTCCCAAAACCCTTAACGTAGTCTCACTCCGCATCCGTCGAACAATGCTCAAATCCAAGACTCCTTGTAATTTAAGTAAATTGATGCGTGCAAGTTTGGGCGGGAAGGTCAGGTGGGAGGAGGAAGAGATGTGTACAAGGGTTCCGGGTGGGTCGGCGTAGGGTTCGTATTGCTTTGACTGGCCGAGGAAGATCGAGGGGATGAAGTATCCTACTTCTTTTCTTCGCCAGGGAACGCGTCTAGAATGAAGTTACAGTTAGCAGTTGGTAGACAGACGCGAGCAATGCCACTCACGGTACAACATCATTGTTGTTTACCACGTGAAAGATTCTCTGCGCATGAGGCTTCATCCACTCCTTAAACACTTCATCTCCACACCTTGGCATCCCATACGTATAAACACACGTCTCACCAACCCACTTCTCCTTCTCCCTAATTGCTTGCGCAAAAAACACCAACGCAAGCGCACCACCTAAAGAATGTCCCGTGACAAAGACACGCCCACCTTTCTCGGGCTGGTGAAGTTCGTTAATCGCGGCGACAGTTTGTGCGTAGGCTGTGATGTTTCGCTCTGAGCGGCCGCTGAAGATTGGGTCGATTGGGTGGCGGGTGTGCGTCCAGAGGGAGGAGATGGCGAATTTTGTGGTTTGCGCGAGAGCTTTGATGCTGCTCATGACCGTACGCTCTGGTGTGGTAGAGTCCAGCTCTATTGTCGTAGGTCTCTGATCCGCCTCTCCATGATCTGTACCAGCATCGATACGGACGGCTGATATGGCATTCATGCCTTCGGCCTGAGGTGATGTCAACTGTCTCGTAGTCGACAACCTCAACGCATCCAAAAACCCATAATGCACCTTCCCCATCCTTTTCGTCTGCACGTCCTCCCCCTCCCTCTCCTCATCCATTCTATCAATCTCATCCAGGCTAACCATCCCCATCTGCAAATCCGTAAAGACATGCATTAAATTCAGCATGTCCGTTCCGCGGAACGTGACGACCACGTTCAATGTTGCAGCATGACGGACGACAAAGCCGGCGGTGTTGTGGTAATGGATGATGCGAAGGGTTGAAAGGTCGTACCCGGCGAGGGCGAGTTCGTAGCGGATGAGGGCGGGGTCTTCGTAGGAGAGGCGGGAGATGTTCGCGAGGCTGATTGCAGCTTTTAGATCCCATTGTTCTGGCTCCCCAGCACTTTGAGTGCGGTAGCCTGTGGAAAACTCTCCAGCTGGGGTGAAGGTCGGGTATGAAGCATTGGCGATGGAGATTGGTGCTTTCGAGGGATGTGCCAGAGAAGGCAGAATGATGCGCAAGGAGTGGCGTGCAACTCGATCTGCCAATAACAGAAACCGGAAGGAGACGTAGAAGTATACGATCAACGAGACCTCCACGACCTGCTTCAGCCCGGGTACATGGCGGATGACCCATAGAGGTAGCTGTGCGCAGGTCTGTGTCAGACGGAGAGCGGCCAGCAGGACCCTCCTCGCGAACTTGGCATAGACTATGGCGAAAACAATACTGGCAAGGATACCCTATATCCCCTGTTAGCCTGATTGAATGCATGACCTGAGCCGCAACGACCGCACCACAACAACCACATATGCCCACAACGCCGCGAAGAACATCCACGGCGACGAAAAGGCATACGTCAAGGAGGCAATAAAGACAAAGATAACGGTGGCGATGTAAAACGCATATTCGATCGGTTGTGGCAGCATCCCCATCGGCCTTTACTTTTCTTGGAGGTTGGGTCCGTATACGTGATGACGTCACATTCCATCCCATCGATTACAAATACCGTGAGCTCCAAATCCGAGAACCTTACCAGTTAAATACAAAGTATCGATATCCAACACCTGCCATGTGGGTAGCCCATTTCGCTCCAGCTCTCATCTTGAAACGTTTCGCTCCCTCCACCCCCATCACCCTGCTCGCCCTCGCCGGTGTCTTACCCGACTTTTTGTTCTTCATTAATGTCCTCCTCGGCCTCGAGGAGATAAAGTATCGGCCACATGAGGGGTGTTTTCCGTATGAGTGCAATTACCCGTTCACGCATTCTTTGTTGGGAGAGGCTGTTCTTGGTATGTCATATCAAACCGTACCTCATACGAGCGTTGTCTAATTGGTATGACAGGTACCGGGTTTGGGTTGATCGCCATGACTCTCCTCGAACTCCCCATCTCCTCCTTCATCGCGATCTTTCTCGCCGCCGTCTCGCACTGGCCCCTCGACGTCCTCGTCCACCGCAAAGACGTCTCCCTCGCCCCCGGCGACCACCCAACCCTCTTTGGCTTGAGCCTCTTCGACTCCTCCGTCGCGGTCTTCGTGATTGATCTCGCCATGATCTTGGCTGCGCTGTATTTCCACGCTCTCACCACTCGTTCCCTCAACCCTGGGAAGAGCCAGAAGGTGTACTTGATTTGGGTGTTGGTGTTTACTGCTGTCCAGGCGAATTTCTCGTTCATGTCTGCGCCGACGGAGAATGCTAGGTTTGTTCATGCTCCGATTTTTGCGGGACAGTTGTTGTCTCTGTCAATTGGGATGAAGTATTTCGACAAGTGGACCAAGCCCAAGACGGGTCCTATCAAGAAGGATCTCTAAGATACTTCTGAGAATGTACCAATAGTTAACAATGTACGATAGTTCTGATGACAGGAAATTTACGAGAGGGACATGTACATATATGGGCAATATATGTAGCAATTACTGCCTAGATATCATGTTCCAATGTCAATGTTCCCACGGTGCTAACCACTACGCGAAAAGCCGAACACTTGCCATTCCCGACCAACAACAGCACCCCATTTAGATGATGAAAGGGAACATGGCCTTCCTTCCCCTAGGGTAGTCCCTGAACTCCTTGCGGTATCTCTGGTGCTTCTTGATGGCCCAAACGAGCATCTGTCCAGAAGAGACGATAAGGAAGAGGTAAGCTGTAGACAAATTAGCCCATAATCGATGAATGCGCGAACAGTATTGCCTACCCGCCAACGACCTGGTCATCAAAGCAACAATAGTCCATCCCATCGTCTCGAAAAAGTAGTTGGGGAACGAAACAAGGTTGAACCCATACCCCCTCGGAATCCTCCTCTCCCTCGACCCAGCCGGCCTCAAATCCCTAACGATAGCATGACACTTGTAGTTCGAAATCTGCGCAAAGACCCAAGCAGCGATACACGCGTACAACGCATTCTGCGACAAATTGTTCTTGGCGGCCCAGGGGCCGTAGACCCAGTATGCGAGGTTAAAGCCGGAGAGGAACCAGTAGTGGGCGGAGTTTTTGAAGATGTTGAAGGCGGGCATGGTGTCGAGGGAAAAACGGTGGACGAAAAGGGTTTCGTATTCGCGCTTGAGAAAGTGGAGGATGACCATAATGAGGACGGCACTGAAGACCTCGTTAGCCAGGCTTATAAGCCACAAAGTTCCGAGACCTACTATTGAACGTTAGAGTGCTCGAACTCGCGACCGTAGATGAGCTTCTGGAGACCGCTGTAGTAGAAGATGGGGTGAATCAAAATCGGACCCAAATACTCCACAACGAAAACAGTCGTCCAGCTAATCTGCGGTCCAAGATCCTTGACATAGACGATGTCTCCCTCGTTGACGCCCGCGGCCTCAAGGGTCTGGGAAGGGTTGGTAAGGGCGGTCTTGTTCTCGAGAGTGAGACGTTGGCGGTTGACGTTCAGACGCGTGTGAGAGTGGAGGAGTTTGCGGAGATCATCAATGGTTGCGGTGGTAGGGACTTCGAGGGTTGAAGGGACCTTGACGGATCGCGTACGCGACTTGAGCTTGAGGAGGACCATTGCAATGCCCCTGAGGATGAATGCTGTTTCTCTAGAGTTTCGTTGATCACGAAATGTTGGGCGCAGCAGATGTCATGGCGAGGCACGTGATGCAGCTGGGGTTACAGGAGAGCCGGAAGCTCGACGGGGTTTGGGCAGACGAGAGAAGGAAACAATCTTGGAGAATTGTAATCGGCTTCACCTCCCTTCAGCCATCTATAGCCAGTCATCAGAGCGTGCGGCTTGGCAGTGCTTCTAAGTTGCGGTCTCTGATAAGAGCAGACGCCTCTTAACAAAACCGTACGGAAGTGCTCGGCCTGTCTCCCGCCAAAACCTTATTTATTTCACTCAACCAGGAAACCCCATATCGATACGATCCAACTGGAGCCTCGGCCATTTCTACCGTCTAGAGAAAGTTCACAAGAAGAACGTTCAACTGTACGAAACGTCGTCTGACCGTCGTCCGCCAGCACCATGAAGTTCAGTCACAGCCTCCAGTTCAACGCCGTCCCGGACTGGGCCGATTACTACATCAACTACTCAAACCTCAAGAAACTCATCTACCAGATCGAGAAAGACACCGTTCTGCCATCCAACACCAGACCCGCCACCGCTGATGAGGAATCCACCCTCATTGATTCGTCCTCACGGGCTGATAACGACTTTCGTCGAGCATGTGACAAGGAACTCACCAAAATCATCAAGTTTTACGAAGCAAAGGAGAGAGAGTTGTATGAGGAGTTTCAGCACCTCTTGACGGATGTCGGCATGTTTGAAGACGAGATGGAGGACATGTTGGCTTCGATTACGAGTGAGTCCAACGACCGACGTACTGGGTCCTCCCGACCGAGGAGGATGAGTTCTTCCTATAATGCCGGCAAGAGAAAATCGTTTAGTGCACGCGCTCGCTCGAACTCGAACATGAACGACGATGACGACTCTGGTGAGGATTCGGATGGTGGAGCGCCTAGGTCTCCGCTTCTACCAACCACCCGTCGTCGAATGTCACAGTCTGGTACCGAGGACGAGTTACGTGCGTCCCAGATGTGGGATGACGAGACCTACGCCGACTCAGCCTTGAACGACACCCGTATCACCCTCAAGAAGCGTATCATCCAATCCTACGTCTCACTCAGCGAACTCCGCTCTTACATCCAGCTTAACAGCACCGGTTTCTCGAAGGGGTTAAAAAAGTACGACAAGACTTGTGGAAGGAACCTGCGTACGCCGTACCTGGAGCAGACTTTGGCGAATGCGTATCCGTTCAAGACCGAGACTCGCAAGGAACTTGACAACAAGATTGGGGAGATTGAGTCGGCTTATGCGAGACTTCTTACTGAGGGGAATATTGCGGTTGCAAGGAAGGATTTAAAGACGCATTTGAGGGAGCATGTTGTGTGGGAGAGGAACACTGTATGGAGAGATATGATCTCTATCGAGAGAAGGGCCGAAGCGGCTACCGTGGCCCGTGGGCAACGTGGTCTGTTGGGTGGTGGTGCCGCGACACCCCCAGAGCAGAAAGAGATGAACATCCCGCAGACGTTCTGGGGCAGACTCAGGAGACGTCTCAACGGGCAGCTCCTGACACTGCTGGTCATCATCAGCATCTTCGTCGCCCTTATATACGCCCCGACTTTCGAGGCCGTGGAGCAGAGAAATTGTATGGCGATGTTGGTGTTTGTGTCGTTGCTTTGGGCGACCGAGGTCATACCTCTCTTCGTTACCTCACTCCTCGTTCCCTTCCTCGTCGTTCTGTTGCGTATCTGCCGTACGGACGACGAGCACCATAAGCGCATGGCCGCTCCTGATGTTACCAAGTACATCTTCGGAGCCATGTGGACTCCGGTTATCATGCTCCTTCTCGGTGGATTCGTCATTGCTGGTGCGATGAGCAAGTACAATATCGCGAAGCTCATGGCTACGACTGTTCTCTCGAGGGTTGGCACGAAGCCCAGGAATGTCTTGTTGGCGAACATGTTTGTCGCGATGATTGCATCGATGTGGATTTCTAACGTTGCCGCGCCCGTCCTTTGTTACTCCATCATTGCCCCTGTCCTACGCACTCTTCCCGCCGAGTCGAATTTTGCGAAGTGTCTTATCCTCGGAATCGCTTTGGCCAGTAACGTTGGTGGCATGGCTTCCCCGATTGCTAGCCCGCAGAACATCGTTGCTTTGCAGAACATGCAGCCTACGCCTAGCTGGGCTGAGTGGTTCTTCGTGAGTCTGCCGGTCAGTGTCGTGAGCATCCTTTTGATCTGGGGGTGGTTGTTGTTTATGTACGCACCGGGCAAGGAGACTACGATCGCCCCCATTCGTTCTTCGAAGGATAAGTTTACGGGTACGCAGTATTTTATCTCTCTTGTTACCTTCTTGACAATTGGGTTGTGGTGTATTGAGAGGAACTATGAGGGTATCTTTGGTGATATGGGTGTTATTGCCATTATTCCGATTGTTCTCTTCTTCGGAACGGGTATCTTGACCAAGGAAGACTTCAACAACTTGCTCTGGACTGTTGTTATTCTTGCCATGGGCGGTATTGCGCTCGGCAAATCTGTGAACTCTAGTGGGTTGTTGCAGACTATCGCCCATGCTATCCGTGATGTGGTTGAGGGAATGAGTATGTGGATGGTCATGTTCACGTTCGCCTGTCTCGTCTTGGTCATGGCAACGTTCGTGTCGCACACCGTCGCTGCGCTCATTATCCTTCCCATCGTTGCGGAGGTAGGCACCGCCATGGAGAACCCTCACCCTAGACTCCTTGTCATGACCGCTGCATTGCTCTGCTCCGCAGCTATGGGTCTTCCTACGAGTGGATTCCCCAACATGGTTGCCATCTCTCAGGAGAACGAGTTGGGCGTGAGGTACTTGTCAGTGAAGGACTTCATCAAGACTGGTATCCCTGCGAGTTTCCTTGCTTTTGGTGTTGTGATATCGTTGGGGTACTTTTTGTCGTCTATCGTTGGGTTCTAGGTGGGGTTGAGTGTTGCACATCTTTTTTTCGGAGATGTGGTATTATTGCATAACGTAACTTTATTCAATATGATATTATAGATCGACGGTACCGGTACTGAGAGTATCAGCTGAATTGCCGCGCAGTGATGTCACGGCCGAACCTCCCGGGCCCAGCAGAAGCTCCAATACACCCTCAGTTGGAGCGTTACCAGCAATACCATACATACCCCTACAAAGATGGCGAAAGACCAGGACCTTACTACCCTTCTCAGCCCTTCTCAGCGGGCCGACTTCCTCGTCCTCATTGCTACAGCAATTGGCGTCCAGCGCAAACGACTCTTATCCGCCTTCGACGTTGACCCCGGATCAGCCAAGCAAGACAGCAGAGGGACTATCAAAGACACAGAAGTCGAGGATGTAAAAGATATTGAGTTACACTATGACTCACGGCCTAGTTCGTCAGGCGAGAGCTCGGGATCGGAAGAGGCGCCGCGGATTGTACAGGTCGATATTAAGATGGAGGAGTTGAAGAAAGCGGCTTCGGAACACTTCGATGAGTGGTCAAATGAAGTCATTGCTAGGGTTGGAGAGGTCCTCAATTCAGGCAAGCCAGCTGTCGTCAAGGACGTATTGAGAGGCATACTGACGGCAATTTAGACAAGTCGCTGAGCAAGGAGGAACACCCCACAATCAACCCAGAACGTCCGGCTCCGACATCAGAGTCAACGAACCCGCTAGCAGTCCAAACCCCTCTGACAGAGAAGCTCAGTTCAGATCGTCCACCGCTCCTCATCCACACTCTCCTCCTCCTTCTCTTGTCACTCAAGTCATACTCCGCATACTCACGTATCCTGCTCATGCAAGTCGCCGCTTCACTTTCACCAGCTTCCGAAACCATCCCGCCTATCACGGAGATTGAGTCAAAGGTCGCACAAGCACTTACATCAGCAGCCAAGGAGATGTCTGCGGATGAGGAGAGTAAGAAGCGAGCGGAGCAGGCGGCTACGTCGCGTAAGTGGAAGGTGGGGTTGGCAACACTTGCTGGTGGAGTTTTGGTTGGTGTGACAGGAGGGCTAGCTGCACCACTTGTCGCTGCCGGAATTGGCTCTGTCATGGGCGGTATTGGGTTAGGTGCTACAGCAGCTGCTGGTTATCTCGGGGCGCTTGCAGGGTCGTCGGTTCTCGTGGGTGGTCTCTTTGGCGGGTATGGTGCAAAGATGGCCGGGAAGATGGTTGACAGATACTCCGCCGAGATCGCCGACTTCAAATTTATTCCCATTCATGTCAACTCAAAGCTTCATGTTACGATCGGTATCACTGGGTGGCTGTCCAACCCAGAAGAGGTCGTTGACCCGTGGACGATCCTGAGCGATGCTGGAGACCAGTATGCGTTGAGGTTTGAGGTCGAAGCCTTGACGCAACTGGGACATGTGCTCGAGAGCTATGTCAAGTCAAAGTTGTACGGTTACGTGAAGGGTGAGATTCTGAAGAGGACTGTACTGGCCACCCTCATGACTGCTTTGTGGCCTCTCGGCCTTCTCCAGGCTGGCAAACTGCTGGACAATCCTTGGAGTATTGCCTATGTCCGTGCACAGAAAGCAGGACAGGTCCTTGCCGACGCTTTGATTAATAGAGCACAAGGTGAAAGACCGGTCACTCTAATCGGGTTCTCGCTCGGTGCTCGAGTGATACACTCTTGCTTGCTGGAGCTTGCACGGCGCAAAGCTTTCGGTGTTGTCGAGAACGTGTATCTTTTGGGTACGCCGGCTCCAGCTAGACAATCTGACTGGCGTGCTATGCGTGCCGTCGTAGCTGGTCGACTTGTGAACGTCTGGTCATCCAATGACTACATCCTCGCCTTCTTGTACCGTACCAGTGCTGTTGAACTGGGTGTAGCTGGTCTACAGGCGATCGAAGGTGTCCCGGGCGTTGAGAACATCGACGTCAGCGACTTTGTCGAAGGACATCTCAGGTACAGATACATGGTCGGAGAGATTCTCAAAGATCGAGTTGGTCTTGTGGAGGATCTGGTTAATGCGAATGTCCAGAGACAATTGACGGCTGGTGAGCGTAAGGGGAGGGAAGTGCGGTTGGCGAGAGAGGCTGCTGAGAAGGGAGACAAGAAGGAGGATTTGATTGTGTTTGACGCTGACGGTGCACATGCGGACAGCGTTACTAAGATGGCCAAAGACAGGTATGAGTAGGTGCAATTGTTCTAGCTATAGTATAGCAGGTAGCAGCAACCTTGAAGGTTTCATCTTTCTCACGCGCGTTGTCCTGCAGCAGTGAGACTTCTCGTACAAACCGCTCCTCGACGTCAACGAATACACAGATCTCAATCAGTCAAGATGTCAGCTGGCAAACTGCTGCCCCCCATTACCGCAATTACTGTCGGTGTAATCTCAGGCGTACGCTCTCATCTTCACCCTCCAGTATACTCGCGCTGACTGCTATGCGCAGTACTACATTTTCAATCAGCCATTGAAGGAGGCATTCACTCAAGAGGATCTCAGAAAGGAGTTGGGTGTCGCTGAGGCAAAGTCACATGAGGGCCCCATCCAGGCACCTCCGCCCGTAGGTACTGCTTCGGGTGTTGGTGCTGTGGGTGGAGTACCTGGTGGTGCAGTGGATGGAGGCAGTGGTGGTGTTACGCCCGGGGGCGCGTTCAAGTGAGCTTCTTGGGGCATGTTATAGGATGGTGTACGATATAATTGAAAGCGTTACGTCGATACTTTCGTTTCCTGGTTCCGTCCTCATCATTTTCGTGTCATGTCTCCGTTGTATCCCCAAACCGCATGATACGGCCTTTTCTATCTTCAACATCATCGGAGCTCCGCAGCATCACAAAGGACAAATTCTCCCAATTCAGCATCGGTATCATACAACAGACGTTTCACATTCTTAGCAGACCAGCATACTGGCTGCTTCCTCTTCCTGTTCTGCAAATACGTTCCAGTCGAGCCTTCCCTAGCAATCTTCATCTCGCGCTCCGCCCGTAAATCAATAGAAATAGACGACGTCTGATATGTCAAGGAAGTGGTGATCTTTCTCAGGACGCGTGCATTACTGTTGCTCTTCACCTCCTTGATCTCCCTTTCGTGTGAGCCATTCACGAGCAACTTCCTCAACGACAACTTCTTGCCAGCCCAAAATAGAGCGGATGTTGCAAAGATGTCTTTCAGAGGCGTTGTCGAAACAGTAGTTGGAGATGAATGATCACTTTGGATAAGGTCGTGGCAGGTATCGATGCTGGTCGGCAAGGTTTTCCTCTTTGGCACGCTCTCATCACAAAAACTGATCAGATCAGAAACAGTCGATAAAGGAAAGGATGGTTCAGCAATATGGGTTGAAGAAGCATGTTTTGACGACGTATGATCTGTAAAAGATATACCGTCTGCACTCTCGACCACCAAGGCTGTATAACTTTCGACAGGAGAAGCAATGGCGTGAATCCCCGCCGAACATAAGTGAAGGCTCGCAGGAGCACATAATTTGTACCCGGTGCGAGCAGTGACGTTTTTTAGTAGCATATGTGCGGGTGTCTGGTGATGTAGGCCGAATGAATGCGCTGTTTCTCGTGTCTTCGACCCCGCGACAAAGGCTTCATCCCCATTTCCCACCCTCCGAAAAGGTGCTTCTCGCAAGAACCAGCTGTCATAAAGCGAAATCAAAGCTGCAAAAACATCGTCAGATGAATCAACGTAGCAAAACGGGGCCTGGAACCGAATGTAGTTCTCGTGCTTCTTGTCAATGAGTTGTCGTCGAAGATCTTTCCGAGACACCGCGGTAGGTGTCCTTGGTTTGTACAAACGCATAGCGAATAAATAAAAACGATACAAAAGGCAAGAAGAGAAGGGATAAAGACGCTTCTTCAGGAAGAATGCTTCGCCAAAGTGATTAAGGATGGTGGTGAGGGAGTGTTGGTGTTGGAGCAGCACGTAGCCAGGCGCTCGCACGGTCCGAATACTAGTACTGCTGTGTGCAAAATTCTTGACGCGCATTTCCGTACATGCGCGAGACCCCTGTAACGGTAACATAAAACACCTCCAAACAGCTCGAAAAAGGGTCTAGGAAACTCAGTAAGGGTCGAAATGCTTGGGAAGATATGTGCCGATGTCGACCACGACAAGGTAATCAACCAATATGCTTCTGGGAAGGATGTCTACGAAATAGCGACCAACATTGAGAGGTCTCCTCGCACGGTTTACCGAATTGTGAAGAGATTCGAGGAGACAGGTCTTACTGAGCATAAGGGCAACTCAACCTGCGGGCGCAAATCGGCTGTTGACGAGTTTCTGGGCTCGGTAAGTAGACTATTACTGCTCATGGGTACCACCAAGGGCATGACTAAATGACCGCAGCAAATCAAGTACCTGTACGACAAAAACCCTACCCTGTATCAAGACGACTGTGCTGAGTTCCTCAATGATCAATTCGCTACATCTCTATCGCGCTACCATGTCACCCGCTACCTGCAAAAGATTGGATATACCCGTAAGGTTTTGACCTTACGGGCAGCCCAGCGCAACCCTATCTTACGCGCAAACCATGCCATTGAAATGGCTGACTATACTCAAGAGCAGCTGGTATTTCTCGACGAATCAGCCGTGGAT